CACACACACACACACACTGTACGCACGCCGCTGGCAAATCACCTGCAAACAGCCTTTGCAATCGAGTGGCTTGGGTTAACACACCATCTCTATGAGCCTGTCTTTGGTGTAAGCTGCTCAGTGTGTGTGAGCTGACAGAGAGGTAAGATAAGGGGGTCAAATGCTGAGAGGGGAGAGAGAAATGTAGACACAAAGTGGGAGATACATGGAGGGGAGAGAATGAGAGGTTTTTGTCCCACAGGACAGAGCTGGAAGCAAGGTGAGCAGCATCAATATGGGAGGGTTTAGCCACACTGTGAATAAGGCAGATTTTTGCTTATGGCATAAACAACACACATGAAGGCGAAAAAGGATTTGTGTTGTACAGTAAGCGGAAATGCACTGGAGGGGAGCTCAGCCAATGTAAGCCTTGTTTTAATACAGATAAATGTGTCATTTGGCCATAATGTGGTAGATTTTAATATGTGCATATGTGACAGTCTGCTTTACAAAGAAGTAGCATTGAAACATCCATTTCCATATGTCCGTTTATATTTAGCTGTTATTCAGGCGTTGACTTGTTTCCTTCACAGAGAGGCGGTAGACAGTAAATGATGGAGAGAGAGCAATTCCACTGCAGCTGAGGCTTCAAGCAGTTGCACACATAACTATGAACATATGGAGCTGGTTAGCCATTTGGTATTTTCTCAGTGTTTGTTGCACTCTCCATTCACCCCTGCCGTATTTCCTCAGGTAATATCTGATGATGTATTGAATGAATTTAATCACTTTAAAAGAAGCAGAATGACAATAACAAAACCAGGAAGAGAGACAAAAAGGAAGAGGGATAGATGTTCTCTCATTAAATGGGGCTGCTTCTTTCTATTCCCTTGCTTCTAATGTTCTTCTGACTCTCTTTGGTTCTTTTTCCCTGCTGTTATCATCCATTCCGTGTCCCTTAAGGGGCTAGCCATGTCCATTCTGTTTCGAGGAAAAATCCAAAGCCAAAGGCGAGACCCATGCTGTGCTCCGTCTCTGTGCAGGATTGACTCCGGGTGCCTTCTGATAAATCTTTAATTCCCTGGTGGGTCTGTTTTTGTATCCTTCCAAAGATTTGAGGGGAAGCTTGTTGTACTTGGTTTAATTTCCTCAGAACAAAGCTCATCTGATCTTCCCACCCAGACTTGTGTGTGGCATTAAGTCTTCATTTTCATTAATGTTGGAGGGGCAGCACGGGAATCTCATTTTAATTTGACATTTAAACATCTGTTTTCAATTTCCTGAGGAAAAGAGTGCATGTGTATGTGTGTGTGTGCCTTTGTGTGAGTGTGTGGGTGGACAGAGGATAGTCTGTGGGGGTGATGAACCTGGGAGTTTTCAGAGCTGAGAGCAGCTATCTCAGCTGACCTTTAATAGAGCGTTTGGATGTAAGAAATGATGGCAGCTAATTGCGTTAGCCTCAGCACAGCTCCAATTTGCTACTGTGGACCTGGGGAGTGATTTATCAAACAGTACTGTGGATTGTGGTTAGACTGGACTTGGCAGGGCCCAACAGATGTATGCCAGTGCAAACCAAAACTCTGCTTTGATAGATATGGTTGTTTTATTCACTGTCAGCTGTTTGTCTTGCAGCGAGGCATGTCAGCCAGATGAGATAGGATGTGTTTTGTTCTTGGCCTACTGAAAAGAGGAAATGCAATGCAGAATAGATCCCTTTACCTTGACAAAGTGTATTGATATCCGTCCAGGTCCGGATATTCACTCCGTTTCATCCCATCATCAGCATATTTGAGCAAATCCAGGACGGACAAAGAGGTGTCTTCATGCTGGGACCTGTGACTCTGGCCCATTTCCACATATTAAGCCACAAACTGAAAATCTCTCTGTACACACAAAAACACACATCCACACACATTGAGTCTGGCCCCCCTGTTAATAGTGCAGGAAATATTATCTGCTAGGGGACAGCTGCAGGCTCACTAGAGAGACAGAGTAAAGGCTCATTATCCCAAACACAGACACAGACCACACCACACACACACACACACACTTTTAGGACAGCACGCGGCGTGAGAGATTGTCCATCCCAATTTTTTACCATATTCTGGGTCCTACAACAGGAACAGTTAGGGAGGCAGGCGAGCAGGGCCTTATGCAGTATGTATACAGGAAGGCGGAATGCTGGATGCCTTATTTAAACCAGGGGGGGCAGAGGCAACCGATTCCAACACCGCTCCGGATCTGACGGGGCTTCTGGCGAAAGTGTTCGGGCTTTGTACCCCGTCCAGATCTGTGTCCGACTGTCTGGCTGCCTCGGTTTCCCTCCATCCCAGAGGATTTTGTTTTCCACAACGCAGATGTTCGGGGCTGTGTGCTGCACCGCACTCAGCTGTGTCTATAACAAAGAGGTGTTGGTGTAGAGGAGGAGAGAGGGCAGCGAGGTGAGCGAGCTAGTGCTGTTAAGGAGGGGTGGAGTTCACTGCGCTGTTGGTGTAAACACTGGATGATGCCAGCTATCCCTCGGGCCCCCAGCTAGTCGATACAGCATCCTTTCTTCCCTCTGTTCCTCCCCACACATCCCTTTTTATTTTTCCAGAGGGAGAAATGCATCTGCATGTTAGCTGAAAGTATTACAGTAGAGCCAGCAGGGGAGGCAGATACCCACTGAGAGGAGACCGTGTGCACTTAATGTCACAGTTAAAGTTACTGAACTTACTCACCCAGGAGTTTATTACAAGCTCTGCACTAGCCGTGCGGGACAAATATGAATTATTTCATATGCTCTTTACTTAATTTCTTAAGTGCACGTACTCTTGATCAAGAGAGGATACTGCTCAAATATTGTCAACAGACGATGTAGCATGTGTGTACTTTTACACTTAAGAAAACGAGAAAGAGAGATGGTTAAACGTTTGAAAAAAAAAATGCACATTTGAGTCTGTTATGAGCCAGGGCTGACTTGGGTCTTCGATTTTGGACTCACCTTCACACTCAAGGCCAACTATTTCCATAACAAGTTGACCTTGCTGATACAAATAGCGACAGTGTTTCTTCAGATGGAGCTGGCGCTCTAATGGATCGGATGTTTGGTGTTTACGTTTGCATTCCTGGATGACTGTATCTGCTTTTAACCATACCAAATGAGCTCACTCACCACGCAGCTGCACCGCTGAGTTGGAGTTGGATCAGAGGGAGTGTGAGAAAAGATTTAGGGGGTCACAAACATAAGCGTTATTTATCTGTGCATGTGTCTGTAGATATGTACCTCCTCCTCATAAGCGGTATGAGTGGCAAAATACCGGATGAATCCTTTTGAATTGTTTCTGTTCCTGTTTTAGAGAATTGAGACTAGGTAATGATACAGCTGTACGTAGCTGTGTGTGTGTGTGTGTGTGTGTGTGTGTGTGTGTGTGTGTGTGTGTTTGAGTGTGTGTGTGTGTTTGATTCTGCAGCAATGGACTGGGGAAGCTATTACCACCTTATTCCTACTGTTGAACAGGATTCCCATTGCACGTTACAAGAAGCACAGGGCAGTATCTGGGAAACTGTCCAATTTACTGCTTAAGGGGTTTAGTCAGGAATCTGTTGGCTGTCAGTAGGTAAGGGGTCCTGGGGTAAACCTGACTTTGATCTGTGACTGAGGTGACTTCAGAGCAAGCTGAGGACCATGAGACAATAGACTGCAAAAGCTCTGCTTCGTCCCCAAAACACAGGCACAAGCCTATTCACATTACTCTTCCATATGTAAAAAGGGACAATAATTCACACAGTGCGCTGACCTTGCATACTTTGTGTGTGGCCTGAATTTCAGCTTGAAATTTTCAAGCGCTATTTTCATAAGTTTTTATATCGATGTGCAGCAAAGCTGGGGAAATGATTACTGGCACACTGTCTGCAGAAGGGAGCCTGTGGCTTTTTTCATTGCTTTCTCCCCTCTCAATAAACCTCCAGTTTATCTGTAACACTGGAGATATGAAGTCCAGAGATATGTTGTTCCTCTGCCTCTCAAAAAATAGATATCCATTGATCTGCTTTGATGCAACTACCGGTTAGTAATGATATGCGATATTCTGAAAAAGGCAGGCGGGGAAAGATTCACGATTTTAGGTGAGGTGGGTTTTGTGATTTTGCATTAAGCCTCAAATAAAAATCGGAATTGCTCAGTTCATCTCTTCAAACCTTCACATCTATTCAGTAAATTTGTACCAACAAAGGAGAACTAGGAATTTGTGGATTTCTTATGTGGAATAATGAAAATCCATGGCTGTGTCATCTTTTATTTTTACAGCACTCCAGTGGAGAAAATCAATGCAAAGAAGAATGACATATCAAAGTCCTTAGCAAGGCAGCGATGGTAGATTAGATCTAGACTTTCATCTACGTGAAGATAGCACGGGTGTATGAGCATGGGGATGTAAATATGAACCGTCAGGGAGAGATGAAGAGCTGATGATGGAGAGGTGCTCATCATTGTATAATAAAGTGTGTGTGTGTGTGTGTGTGTGTGTGTGTGTTCATGATTATATGAAGGGCTGTGTGGTTTGAGCAATAAAGAGGAAGGTCATTGCTATGTTGATGGGCACAAATATGTGTTCATTATTGCTGTTGTAAAGCTTATTGACAAACGATATATGTGAGCAAGTAGGCCATGGACAAGCAACTGCATAAGCCTAGTGTGTGCAGTAGCCCACACTATGCAAACCTTTTTTGGCAATTTTATATGCTATAAACACATTTTGGAGTGGCTGTTACTGTTTTCATGGCAAATCAATAGTAATGTGTTTCTAACATTTTGTCATCTGTGCGGAACTAATTATTTGTTTCAAAACATCTGGGCTGCTGCTTTACGAGCTGCCTTCGGTTTTCTAAATGTAGGAACAGCTCAAGGTGTTATGTTTTGTTTTTCTGTTTTTTTAAATGATCTGTTTCTTTAACTGTTAATTTGCTTTGTGTTCCCTAAAGGAGGATATACTGACATTTTGTTAATTTGTTCTTCTCCTCTTCTTTCTGTTTTCTCTCAGTTCTACGCGACGACTTCAGACAAAACCCTGCAGATGTGATTGTGGCAGCAGGAGAGCCGGCGGTGCTGGAGTGTCAGCCTCCACGAGGACATCCCGAACCCACTATATCGTGGAAAAAAGAAGGAATAAACATCGACGACCGAGATGAGAGAATCACTGTAAGACTCTTTTTTTTTTTTTTTTTGTCTGCAAAGTGCAGTAACTCTAACATTGTTATTGCTGACACGTAGGCGACTCGATGCCTGAAGACTGCTTTGTAAACAAGGGTGATATGTTTAAATGCATGAGATAGTGATGCAGGTTAAATCCTTCCCAGCGCTTCAGTGTTTGTTGAAATATTGATTTGTTTGTCTCATTATTCACATACAGCAATTACCAAAACCCAGAGCTGTCCATTTCAGTGGCTACAACCTCTAATGACTGAGGCAGATAGAATCAGTCTTGCTTCCTCAGTCAGCGGTGGTGCATTGATTAGCGATGACTTGCTGATGAAATCAACTACGAGAAGCGTGTATCAGGAGCGAGAAATGAGCTGACCGAAATCAAAGAGGAAAAAGTTGCACTGAGCAGCAGCGGTGCCTGTAAGATCCAAACAGCTCTTTACTTTACATGTGATTTACAACCAAACCCCCAATTATTCAGCTTTAATTAGAACAACAGCACAGCCGCTACTGCAGCATCAATCAACTCTACATGCTTGCTTACCAAAGGTCTTGAGTAATCCTAACTCAAACTGTCTTAGCCAAACACAATTCTGGGTCCATAGTTGTTTTCCTTGATTAAGAGGAAACCTTTTTTTCATTCGACTGTACTGATTGGATGTGTGCAGTCGAGGCTGACTCAGCACTCGGCTAACACAAGCAGGTAGTGAGGAGGAAGTAGTTAGCTGTGGCTCTGGAACCCATTTTCACAATCTGACCGGTGGGGTTTTAAGGATCTGGCTGCTTATTGTGAAGTAGTTGAGCAGTCAAATGGTTTGGCCCCCCGAGTGCTGACGATGGCGAACTTCACAGTACAGTCACGGACAACCAGATCCTCCCCGGATAATTAATCCAAGATACTAATAAAGACGTTCAGCTCTGTATGCTTGTAGTGTAATGCTGAAATCTGGCTTGGGGTAGTAGTGTACAAAACATTTTCATTACTGGGTAAGTTAAAACGGTGATTCATCGCTGTTGGCTCCCTGCAACGGAGGCCTGCACATGACTGAACGCAGTTTTGCTCAGCGAGGGCCAGTTGAGGTTGCACGCACTAAGCCCTGATCCCAAAATCAAACTCATAAACAGCATGAGTATTCTTCCTCTGTTTTTTTTCTAAGCTGCACCGGCAGAAGATTTAGAGTCCGTGTCTGGCCGCTGAGCAGCATAATTGAAAGAAACAAGCGCATAATCTAGTTTAAAGGGAATCAAATCATATCTGTCCCTGAGTTAAGTCAGTAGTTACTCATGAGCACGGAACCTCTATGCCACATAATGAACTCTTGTGGCCTTTGAATTCACTGCTTGTCTTGTGTTTTCTGCACATTTGGATCATGAATGTATTGTGTGTTTATTGCATTCACACCTAACTACTTATTTGTGCCTACTGTTGCACTTAAGTTAGTATTTTAGGCAAAATTAAACAATACAGCATGAGGCAGTTTAGCATTAGGTACTGAACAAAACTGAATAGGAATACTATTTTATTTTAAAGAGGAGACGATGCCCAACATTAAACACAAGTTTAGGGAAAACCTCTTTTCAGTTTTGTTCATCACCTAATGGCAAACTGCCTCATGTTGTTTACACAGCACACATGGCCTTTCTCATAATTGCATTGTATCCCCATCAAATAAAACGCACACAAACATGTTCCTGTTGTTTATAAATAATTTCTGCAAAAACATCCATCCTACCCCCTGCATGGTGGAAGTGACGACTTATTATCAATGCTGCAAATGTGATGTTCTGCATTGATGGGTGAAATCCTCAGAGGAAACATTCTGAAGACTTTTTTTTGTCCATGTAGCCTGCAGCAGTGTTGGGCCTTCTGTAGAACTGAAAACAGGATCTGGTAGATTTAAGAGAGCTTCGTGGACCAGCTGGTGTTGCTCGCAGTAAACTGACTGAGTCTTCCCAAAAGGCCGCTTTAAAAGTAGCGCTAGATGTCATGTAATACTTTTGTGTAAGTATGTGTAATCAACTGTGGTGGCAGATAGGAGTCTGGGCAGTCCTCCGGTGGACACCCATGTTAACAGATCAAGTCGTATTAGAAATAGGACAATCATGGGGCGATGTTCAGAGTTTGTTTATGGTATAGTGAATATTGGTGCCAGTGAATATAGACTTTGGAGAGGGAGGCAGAGGGTGGAATCTTTATAATGTGATGAACAGCTGAGCTCGTCAATGGGCCCCCCTCATCCAGCCTGCATTGTTGTTTGGTTCAGTTCATTCCTCCCACCGTGCAACATGCTGGAACGTGCAGTCTCCTTGGTGATCCCTGGTGATCAGAGCGAGGTCCCTCTGTACTGCACTTTACTGGGATAGGTCGGCTTGGCTTTGGTGGCTGCAGCATAAAGGGGAAATGAACTTCAGAGAGAGGCAGACACATCAGAAGGAACCCTTCTGTTTTCTTTCTATTGTAGGCAGCTGTGTAAAAAAACAGCGACCTGCTGTGTGTCATCTCACATATATTTATGACTTCATGTGGGGCGGTTTTGAAAAGTTTCCCACCGCGCCGTAAAGAGTGAGGCAGGGCTATTACCCTGTATTACCCTGTAATGCTGCTGTGCCACTAGCAGCAGCTGGCCTCATCGCTCTCTACTTTGGCCAAACAGGTCTTTCAGGAACCATGAGTAAAGGATAAATAAACAGAAACAGGAGAAATGCCAGTATTCAAACCTAGACCATTGTCTGCTGAGAGCAAGTGTTTGTTGGCAACATCATAAACGACCATAATGCAGCACATTGTCCTCCTCCTTTTGTGCAATAGTTGTGGCTAATTGTCAGCCTGTAAAAATAACTGCTGTGTGAATACCAACAGAATGCATGTTGAATAGAGGCTTTCTTTTTCATTATCAGCATTGCCAAATGACATGAGACAAAAGGCAACAGGATCGAGCCATCTCCCTGTAATGCAGGGATAATGGTCAGATTGTTGGGGCTTTCAGCCGCCTGTGTGCTTCGCTGTGTTGTGTGGAGAGGATATGCATGCAGAGAAAACGAGGGCCGCTGCTGCATTCATTTACTTGCTCTTGGACTCCCTGCTGCTCTGGCACTCCAAGTATTTCTGTAGAGAATGGTAAACTGCCACAGACACACAGAGATAAGAATATAGATAGAGTAGACGGGGCCCTAAGTGGATCCTCATGTCAAAGCTCTGTGGACCCAACAGTACACCCCCTCTCTTTCTCTGCTGCATGCTCTGCCCTGACCTTGGGCCTTTGTGAGTGTCACAGTGTTTTAGCTGTTAAGCCTTTCCTAAAACAAACAGTAACATAATGATACTTCAAACCCCTCCAGCACCACGGGATGCCCTAAATAAACCAGCCTTCCACAGCCTCTTCAAGTGCCTCTGCCCTCCTGCTTTATCATGAATATTAAACAGGGCTGAAGGGCCGAGGAATGCCTCTAAACCAGAAGAATGTGTCTGGTTGCAAAGTTGTCCATCAAGAATCTTAGACTTAGCCTGACGACTTTACAGAAACTAAAATCCATACATACAAGTGTGTTCGTCACACGCAAGTGATGAAAACTTGACTGCATGTGAAGTACAGTGATGGAGATTCACAGAGACGTGTCATACTGTAGCTCTCAAGTGAACACACATGTAGGAGGGCTTGAGTTTAACACGGCAGTCATGCATTTACAATATTGTGTGTCAAGCTCTCTGTCAGTGCTACTCTGATGAGGGTATCGATTACATGCTTGCAGGTGGTGGTCCTGGTCTCGCGGGCTGATGTGTGCATTTAAAAGCTTAAGCCCCCATCAAGGCAAAGAGATCATTGGTGCGCCATGCTATTGTCTGTGTCTGACTGGCATGGCTGTGAGATGAGAGAAGGGTTGAAGGGCCTGTGCTGGGGCCGGGGCTGCCTTTCTGACTGCCTGAGAACAAAGCACCTCCTCTGGCCTGTAATCAAAGCCCTGGGAAATAACAGACATGACATTCACCTGGACAAACACACATTCACTGCTGGGGTGTGTGTGTGTGTGTGTGTGTGTGTGTGTGTGTGTGTGTGTGTGTGTGTGTGTGTGTGTGTGTGTGTGTGTGTGTGTGTGTGTGCTGTTCATGTGTGCTTCAATGTATGTTCACTTGCTCTCACTTGTAGTTGTATGCACACACTGAAAAAAATAAATCCAAGAAACCTATTCTTTAAAACATTCCCCACGATAATTGTCAAAACTATCCTGAAGCTCTTTGAGGCGACTGGAAAATTGCTCTCAGTCTTGCAGGGCCTCAGGTGGTTGTGTTGGATTGGGAAAGCGTACTTTGGCTCAGCTTACCCCTGAGGAGGAACAGGCCGACTGATAGTGATTTAGACTTCAAGTGGAAGCTGAGTGGAAACGGCGAAAAAACGGCAAGAGAGATAGAGTAGTCCAGTTTATCTTTATCTCTATAAGCTCAGACCCAAAACCCTCTTTAGCACCAAGCCATTATGTGTTTGTGAGTACATTTCATCATTGTGTTGTAATAGCTTTTTGATAAGTGCTCCGAGCCATTCTTAAATGCAATCAGGAAATGTTTTTGTAATGTTCGAGTTACACTGTTTTCTGTTTTCTCTGTGTCAGCCAAAGGCCCCAAGTGTCTCTCACACTCTAATATTGTTGTTTTCCCTCTCCAGGATAAGCCTCTCACCTCCTCTTATATTCCCTCAGATACGCGGAGGGAAGCTGATGATCACAAATGCCCGGAAGAGTGATGCTGGGAAGTATGTGTGCGTCGGCACAAACATGGTTGGAGAACGCGAAAGTGAAATAGCTGAACTTACAGTGCTTGGTGATTAATCTTTTCTTTTTTTTTTATCTCTATCTGCTGTCTTCTTGACTCTCAGTCCACAGACAACTCACAAACATGCACACACACACACACGCACACACACATCCACATATGTTTTTTTTCTGTTTGTCTGCAGTGAGAAACCCAATCCAGATGTTAAGCTTAGATTGTCAATCTCCCAGGGAACTAAATGGTGTCACTGACCTTTATCAGATAGAGTGTGAGATGACCTCCAATCTCACACTTAACTATGAATCCCACGCTGGCCCCAGCAGCTTTTCTCCTATGACCAGCTGCACCCTATTTCATTATGAATGACCTCTGACCCTGATACTCTTCTGTGTCCCGAGCAGAGAGCATGTCCAGACTCCTGATTTTTATTTATTTTTTTACCTTCTTCACCTCTTTTCCTGAGAGACCTCTTATAATCTGTCAGAAGGAACAATGACGAAGCTGGTTTTATAAAGAGAAATATTAATAGTGAAATAATGCTATCGGGGCTTAAACAAGGCCAGGCCCTAGTTTTTGTGTTCTGAGGGAGCATCGTTACCTAGAAACTCTGGTTAATCGTAAACCACCACGGTTAGTTTATGGGACCAAGTCCGATGGAATGTGTGAGTAAATAGAAGGATTAGCATCTAGCCTTTTAGAATATAGAAAATAAACATTGGTGTCCAGAGAGAGTCAGAGCTTAGACTTTCTGTGACAGTGTCAAGTCTTCAATTAATTTAGTGTCTTGTCACGTGTAATTAAAAGCCTATACTGTACCACGAAGCAGTAACCGTTTCCTCTTCTTAATTTTGTCTTGTGACTTCTGTGCGCTGTCTAGTCCATGCAATCTAGACTGTATTTTTGTCTTATTTAACCTATCTCCTTAACCATAAATTGGCTATTACCATGTTCTTTTTTTGTCTCTGTATAAAAACTAAATTTGATTAGCTCACATTACGTCGTCGATTTCATTCCAGGACACCTCACAGGACCTAAAACTGAAACTTCAAGACAGCTTTTTCCACTGGATTTCATTACATTTTCAATTTAATTTCCAACTTAGCTCTAAAGCTTAACAACAAAGAACAGGACTGAGATTCATTGAGGATATCAAAGCAACAAATTGAATGACTTTCACTTAATCAAAACATTATTCCACTTTTACCGTTCCGTGCTATAATTATACATGTGTGTGATGTTTCCATCAATGCAGAACGTCCCAACTTTGTACGTCGCCCAGGCAGCCAGGTGGTGTTAGTGGACCAAAGTGTAGAGTTCAGATGTGAGGCCCGTGGTGACCCAGTTCCTACCGTGCGCTGGAGGAAAGACGATGGTGACCTGCCCAAAGGAAGGTACGACTCATCAACTGGTCCCCTTTCATCACACAATACAATTCTCCCGCACCCTCCTCCTCTCTTTGTTTGATCCACTGCTTGCTTTTTTCTGTCGTCAGCTGACGCATTGTGTCTGTGTCAATAAAGTTTTTGTGTATATGACAACATTAGATACATGAATCCCTGTTTTAATCCAGATATGAGATTCGTGAGGACCACACCCTGAAGATCCGCCGTCTGACCTCAGCTGATGTCGGCTCCTACACCTGCGTGGTCGAGAACATGGTGGGCAAGGCGGAGGCATCGGCCACGCTCACCGTCCACGGTAAGACAGTGCACTGTTATGAGTCTCAGTTTTTACACTGTTCAGTCTGCTGAACATTTCATTTACAGCTCCTTGGACAGTTATTTGGAATTCATTTCCATTTGGGTCATTGTGCAGCTTGATTCAAATGCAATTTAGCCCAACCAAATTGCAATAATGGCCCTCAGCTTTAGCACTACACGGTCATCACTTTCAACTATTCTCTCTCAATTAGCTGATTGATTTCTAATAAAAAGAAATGCAAAAATCCATAACAGCTGTAGAGTTGTGCACATGGGAGCTCAGCAGCAATCGATTTCAATTGCCCTATACAAGTGGCATTTCTCTCGAGGCATGTCTTCCGTCATGTTTTAAGACATGCAGTACTATATGTGAACCTATGGAATATCTGTGTGTCTCCTGTGGCCCTCGCCATCAGACATCTTATTAACAAAGTTGGATATATAGCAGCTGGTCACAGTGTGTGAACATTCAGAAAGAAACCATTCAAGGGAACTGGGGGCTGGGATCACCCGTAAACCCTCCTGAGAATCGGAGAAACACAGGGGCCATTTAACGCCAAACTAATGGGAATGTAGGGACTCAGGTGAGAGAAGAAGGGAAGGAAGGAGGAGGCTTAGTGCATTGGAGATGGGGATTGGATGGAAGGACAGTGAATATGTCGGTCTTGGTTGCAGCTTGCCACTGATGCAGAACGGGTCGGGAATTGGTGCTGGGGGCGGTTATGGTGAAAGAGGATAGAGGAGGAGGGAGAGGTTTCTGTGGTGAGGTCAGTCATATTAATGTCACTTCCAGCAGTCTATGCTGCAGAGATATAAAGAGACAAGGCAATTGTATTCCTCTGCCAACCCCCCACCCGCAAAGATAGATACTTCATCATCACATGGCTACCCTTTGCAATTATTTCTTGATTTTCTCTCACAACACAGCAATCTTTTGATTGGTTGAAGAGCAAGATTAGCCACACCTGCCGATACACCCATCAATATATCTCCTTCTCTCATTGCCTTTTTTCACTCTTTCTCTCTCCCTGATGAAAGCTCAGTTAATGAAAGGGAACGGCATTGATGTGCTGGTTCAATAAGCTGTTCCCCTGGCTTAGAATCATCTTTGAAATGCTAAAAACCTCTCTTGTCCTCAGTGGAAATGAAATGTCTTAACCTCAGGCCAATTCCCTGTTGCCTACATGCAGAAGCGTGGCACTAGCCCTCTTTTCATACATTATGCCTTTCAACCCCCATGTTATACGAGAGGTATGGAAAACGAACCTCTGCAATAGATTTACGGGACAAATGCTTTCTTGGAGTGTCAAATTTGGTGAAAGCCAGAACAGAATAGGAATCCTCGTTCTGCTCTCATGGTTAGATCGGACTAATGCCTGAACCTCTAAGCCTTCGAAGTTCCTAGAACCATTTCCATCCACCCTTCAGATCCCTGAGCTTCATCCAGACCAGGACATGAGGAGGCCAGCGAGGCTGTGGGCACTGAGTAGTCCAGCTAATTAAAGACAAGCAGGCCACAGTCCCACACCCGGAAATGACATGCTTCTAATTACAGATGCGGGCACAGCAAAGGAGAGAGAGGCCGGGTAATTGTAGGTCTAAACAGGCCAAAGCAGCGAAACGATCCATAGGTAGTTAGATGTCACTGTAGTAGTGAAGACAACATTAATGTGGGGGGCAGGAATAATAATTTCAGTGGTAGTGCGCCACTGGCAGAGCAAACTACACCCCAAAACAATATGGAATTGGAAATATAAGGCCAAAGTGGAATTCATGTAAATATTCTTTGATTTCAAGTTCTCTTCCGCTAAATCTGCTGTGATGTGTAAATGGACGATAAAACCAATAGAATTAAAACTGGATTTTTTTTCTTTCTCCAAAAACTGGTTAAAAATATAGTCATTCCCTGCAGTGTCATTATGCAATTTGCTTATCATTGCAATATGTGGAAATTAAAATACAGCAAGGCAAACCATTTTGAAGATATGTTGAAAAGCAAATCCCTTTTAAGAGCTGGACAGTTGATGAGAAGAATCCAACTCTGTGTGGACAGAGGGGGGATTTTCACGCCTTCCATGGTCACATTGTTCGGGAACAATGTCGACATTGTCGAAGTGGTGCCCTGGTCTAGTTTTCTTTCAATGTGCTCTGCTCTCATTACGACTTAATCAGTGAATTATTGTCTTACACACATGTTTGTCAGTTCACTACACCTCCTTTGGACTGAATAAATATGTCAAGTAAAAAATGTCATTGATTGATGGAAGAGACGCATAGTTGGCCAAGTCACCAGCCGCAGTTATAGTTTCATCGTAAAATCATTCATTTAAACTACATGTAGCAGTGAGATGGGCTGTTCAGCTATTGAGTCTGCATGTGAAAGTGGGTATTTTTTTAAAGAATCACACAAAGGCATTTTGATCTGGGTCTGGTGTGTTTAGATAATGTTTATACAATACTTTGTCAATTAAACTTCCACCAAAAGAAAGGCAAATTTCAGACAGTGTTGGACAAAATTCAGAAAATCAGGGTGTTATTTTTTCTCAGCTGGTTAAGTTTGCCGTTAGCAGTTATTTATGTGTAGAAAGGTCTTGAATGGAATAGCAGTCCCTAGAGCAGCGTTGCTAATAACCCATGTAAAGGGTCTGGAAGGAGACTTGGAACTGGTGCCAAAACAGAGCGAGTGAGAGTAGCTTTCCTGTCAACCCACCGTGTACTGTTACAGTGATGATAAATACCAAAACCCGGTTGGGCGCCACATATAGAACTGATGCTTTTCATTGTTCTATCTCTGCATTTGATTTATCTTAACCATCAAATAGACCCTTATAGTGTATTACTCACAGTCACGCAAAAACCACATTTCAGTTGATACAGTATAGACAATCTCAAGAGAAGGACGGAGCATTTAAAGCATGCTACAGACCTCCCAATGGGAGCCACTATTAATCATGCTAAATCCTAAGCACGCAGTCCTACTCTTGTGTTGATGTCAGGCCCACTGAACAGCAGCACTGCTCAAATCCCCATTAATATCTCTGCTGTGGTGTTTGGTACATAGCCTGCCTCCTATTGGGCTGGAGGCCACCGTGCTCAGTGTGTTTTCCTCAGCCGCTCTGATCAGTTTCTTGATAGAGACTCCCTTCTGCGCTGTAAGCTAGCGGAAAGCCTACAACAAAGTAGCCCGGTCAGATTTAAATCTCACCTCTCCCTCCAGGTCCACAACTGTGATCACAGCGGCATGGGAGAGGTAGGGTTACCTAATTAAAGGCTTAGACACTCGTGAATGGATGTGTGTGGAGGTGTTGTAGGGGGTTTGTGTGTTTGCGGGCGTGTACGTTCTCATGATTGTGTGTACCTAGAGCCTCTCACGTATGGATAGCGGTGAGCATCTTCTTCTGGGAGCGTTTGATGCAAGTCTTATCTGCATTTAAAAGGCCAGCAGGGGGAGGAGAGAGGGGGCGGTCATTACTCTGACTGACAGCGTTTATGTTTCCGTGGGAGCCGTTGAAGCAGACAGATTCGATAAGGTGACTGATTGGCTGGGGGAGATTTATGGCCAAAGAGTGACAGTTAACATTCACCTTGTGATTTTGTGAACCAGGCTTACATTTGCAAGGCTGTGTCAGAGGAACTGTGATCCAGCTGCTCCTCAGGGTGCTCTAAACCTCATTAAGGGCAGAGGGACGTTCACTCTCGCACCTGGAAAGAGAGGAAGAACGTAAAGCAAACATTATGTCTGCCAAGCATAAAACATCTGTCTTGTGTGTTTCATATTGTTTGTGTGCCTTTTTGGTCATTTTATTGTACCTAATCCAGAAATGTTCCTGTCTTTGAATATGTCCTAGGACTGAGGAGAAATGTTGAATCGGATGTTTTTTTTGTGTGTGTGTGTGCGCACGTGTTTTTAATGCATTCCTGATCACTCATGCTAATTATTTTTGCTCTGTGTCTCATGTGGACCCTAGGGTTTGAGTCAAGGGTGATATATAACTTGTCTTTTATTCATAGAATATTAACGATTATTTGTATCCATGGACATCACATTGTTGTTTTCTTTATCACTCCTCTTTATGTCCTGCTGTTTATTATTTATTTATTCATCTTTGGGTTTTTGTTGTGTTTTTGTTTCCTTTTTAGTCATGTCTGGTAAGTTGAAATGTCACCCGTCACCTATTCATCGCCCCGACAGACAGGAAGCTGTCACAACCCCCCTCCATCCTCCTCCCATCACTTCTCCACCTTCCAATCAGCACTCATGTTTCTGTTGTCATGGGCAACAGTGACAAAAGGACATTAAACGGGTAAAAATATGCTCAGCTTGGGCCTCCAAGGTAAAGCCGCATCATTACATTCTATTATTTCCAGCTTTTATGCATTACCAAACAGCCCATCTTATTCATGGACAAATTGTGTCTGTATTTCAGACGACAGTTTTCAGATTGCCTGACTTTATGTAAAACACTGCAGCTGTATTGAGCAAATGAAAGTTTGAGGACCCTTTCAGTCTAGGTGTAAACTGGCCTGCATTTGGGCCTCTACGTTCAGGGTGTGGGTCCTCACATAGATGGCCTATTAGACCAGAAAGGCCGAGTGTCACAGCAGAGCCACCTGGATGACCTTGGGCTACGACACCACACTTAGTCTTAGATGGAATTTTTCATTAAGATGCATGGGTGCTGCATCCTGGTTGAGGCCTGCATTATTGGAGGGTGTCAGCATGGACAGATGGCTCAAATTTATTCCCCATATCCATGTAAATTTTAACGGTCTATGCCCTTGCCCATGCAAATGAGGAGGTCGTTGTTTTTCCCATTCATTACATCTATGCCTGCATTGTGAATTTGATCAGTGTACTGCTAATCTGCTGTAAAACAGACTTGCGCAAAGTTTTGAAAGGGAGACTGAATTCTTCGGTCCATGTTTTAATACAGTCAATACACAGTAGCTGCAGTCAAATGTATTTTGTCTTTCTTTCAAATAACCCAGACTACTTGCAACTGTAATATTATGATAAGTCAAATAATATGATATGCTGTGTTCATCTATTCAATGGCTAACAATTCTCATGGCTGTCCTCCAGTGCCCCCGGCATTTGTGGTTAGACCAAGGAACCAGGTGGTTGGGGTTGGCAGAACCGTCACCTTCCAGTGCGAGGCCACCGGAAACCCTCAGCCAGCCATTTTCTGGCAGCGGGAAGGCAGTCAGGTAAATAAGATATACCAAGATCAATGTTTAAAACACTCATCTGTTTGGAAAACATGCTAGCATACTCATTCAAAGCTGTGTGAAGAACTATTTTGTAGGCATAGTTCACTTAATAGCTGATATTCTAAGACAGATGCTTGCATGCATTATGCCATTTTGGAGTCTTTGTTAATAGAAGTCTGACTGTTTGTGATTTGTGTTGATCCCCCATAGAACCTGCTCTTCTCCTACCAACCTCCTCAACCCTCCAGCCGGTTTTCTGTGTCTCAGTCGGGGGACCTGACCATCACTGATGCTGAGCGCTCAGACATGGGATACTACAGCTGCCAGGCCATCAACACTGCTGGCAGTGTCCTCACCAAGGCTCTGCTAGAGATCACTGACGGTAAGCAACCGTCTTTTAAGCAGTTTTCTGCACACAGCAAAGTCTCAGAGGGAATTAGAGGAACACTGAAAGAAAACTCAAGTGGATAACTGTTGGTGTTTCGAATAAGCTTTGGCTCATGCGGATAATGCTGCTCATCTGAAATGCCGTAGTTGTACCGTAGAGCATATTAATATCCGAATTGAGGTTTGCGAGGTTAGGTCTGGCCTGTTCAATGTGTTCCTGTCAGAGGTAGAGACTCTCTGGTGCCTGTGCACCCAGACCGTGTCTCAGTATTTGGCTTTGCTGGCTTCACACTGGCTAATGTCTTCTTCGGTATTCCTTAGCTGGCTTGCTGCTGCCTACCGTTGGAAGACTGTGGCTGTGTGGTGAGGTCTGGATTGGGTCCTCTAATTACTCCGTTAGCCAATCCCTGTCAGCCTGGTAGACTAACCGTGGCTTCCTTTCCACCATTCCCGCAGAGATCTGGGCAGCTATTATTTTGTCTATGACACACCTAGATTCATCCCTTCATTTACCAAATGTCCGTCTTCATTTCAGGCCGACAATGCTATGCTCCATCTCGCTCTCCTCTTCTCTCTCTCATTCTGTCATGCTCTCTGGATAATAATAACAGTTATTAAAGTGAGCAGGCCACTCCGAGGCCACCACTTCTCCGCAGGCAGATCTGGTAATTACAGGTCATGCTGACAATGTTTTAGTAATTGCACCATCCCCGTCACAAAAGCAAAGACAAAGCGGCCAATAGATTACACCTCAGCATGGCTCTGAGGATCTATTAACACATACATACATCATGTGTTGCTGTTACACTGTGTTAGGTATTAATTTGATTGTTCCTCACTGAATGTAACTTGCTAGTAAATCAGTGGGGTTGACAGCAATGGTCATCAATAGTGCTATGAATTATAATAATCAGAGGGAGGCAGACAACCCATATGATGAAATAGCGCATTAGAGACAAAATAAAAAAGGAAAAATTACCGAGTGCATGTAATTAAAGTGTCTCTCACAGCTCTTCCCTCTGCCGCCTCATCTCCTCTATTCTCTGCACATTGCAGCCTTTCTCTGTCTCTTGAATACATGCTTTCTCGCTGTGTCTTTGTTGTTTTTGTGTACTGGTTGAGCACCCAGGGTTCACAGGCTGGGAGGTAGGGAGGAGGAGTTTAAACGCCCTCATGCTAATAACATTGTCTGTTCTGGGTGGAAGGGTTTTTTTTTTTTTTTAAAGCATTTTCTCCCTTGTGTTGTGTGTTATGGCTGGGGGATGGGCCAGGGGATTGTTGGCCGTGAGCGATCATATGGGTATTGCCAGGCGTCTGTTAGAGCTTCAGCGAGAAGACTGAAGTATCTGAGGCCGTTTAATTTTAATTACGCTGCTTTTATTTGGCTAAGTTCGACTCCTGCTGCTGAATGATTAGAAAATTGTTTCCAGTTCTTCAAATTGGATTTAGTTCCTCTCCCACAACCCTTTCAGTTTTCACATTGCTACATGCCGTTTGGCAGATTCTCTGATGTTTGTGTGCTTGCACACAAGCTGTATTTGTCTGAATCCACTGTTCTTTCTGTTCCTGCTACAGCACATGAACACCTGCACAGTCCCCCCACCCCACCACCACACATAATTGCTCATTCTCCCTTCTCCTTCCACAGTTATCTCAGACCGTCCGCCACCAGTTATCCGCCAGGGCCCAACCAATCAGACAGTAGCTGTGGACGGCACAGTGGTCCTCAACTGCGTGGCAACAGGAAACCCCACCCCCACCATCCTGTGGAGGAAGGATGGTGTCTTGGTGTCCACACACGACTCCAGAGTCAAACAGCTGGACACGGGTGCATTGCAGATACGCTATGCAAAGGTAAGACACCTGCTCACATGTACAAACATGCTCAGATCCCTTTTTAACATCAACCAAGGTAAACGCACAACACAGGGCCCAGGCATGTTCGGTGGCATTTGGAGTTCTTTGACGATGGACGTTTAAACTTGCCTTATATTTCTTTTTAATCAAGGTTATTTTTATTAGATGGCCTTTAAAGTCTGGATCCATTTCAAATACACTTCAAAGTCATCCATATTACACCCCATAATGTGATGGACAAACACCTGCTGGTTGGTAAATAAAGCATGTTTTCCCTGCCAGCAGCCAGCTCTCAGTGGGCTGTCAGTCAGTTGCTGCAGGTTTGAAATGGAGTCTGTGAAGTCGAACAGTCTGTAGTTCTCGTCAGTCAGCTATAGCGCAGTGGGTTGTGTGTGTAATTTTGTGTGTAAGCACATATGTGGGATGTGATGGCAAGCTGCATGACGCCGAACACACTCAGGGAAAGACATGTAGGGGGGGTGCTGACGTGTTTTCCAGATGGAGGCATCACGGGGTCAGAGTTCGCGTCAGTTTGCGGTGTTCTGATGAATGCTGGCATGTCTTGTGGTGACAAGATTGCAGTATGATTGGGCTGCCAGTGTAAGGCAGGCAGGAGGGGATGCGTCTGAATCCCTCTCCCGCTGCAGCCGCGTAAACTCCGCAGGCACTTTGCATTAATGAACTTGTCATTCCTCCCTGACAACATTTTAATGAAGATGTTTTTGATGCGTGAGGTAATTTATTTTAACAATGTGGTTGCGTGAGTTTTATTGTTATTGAGTTTCAATACATTGTCTTGCCTGCCAGACAAAACAATACGCACCTTGAGGGTCATTGGCAGGACATGCTCACACTCAATTCATCTCAATGTTTTTCTCTTTGTTTTGTTTACACACCAGCACAGTAGCCCTTAGCGTACTATGCATCACCACCTAACCAAAACAGAATTATTTGTCTTACCCGCTGACGTTGACTGCAGTTGACAGAGGGGATATCTTTTTTAAATGCAGCACTGTGAAAACAAGCCATATATCTTTGCCAACAGGGGGTTTTGTTTTGTGTTTTGCTTATTAGCCTGTTAGCTAGCAAACCCTCTCAAAAATGTGTCAACCGATTTCAATTCAAACACCATGAGCCAAGAAACAAATGATTTGTTATTGATCTGTATCCAAAATCCAGGTGTCGATCCAAGAATTTTGTGAGAGAAAGGGCTTTTTTCCAGCTCATATTTCTCATGTACTACTGCACAATCTGGCACATGTACCACATGATTGTCTCTCTCTGTGTGTATTTTGATAAAGATATAATGCAGATTACATTGTCCATTATTAATAATAACAAACTTCTGCCTGAGAGAGAGAGAAGTATAAGCTCTCTAAGTGCTTTTTGGTGTTGTGTAATCTCTGTACTAAAATATAACTAAACTACAAATGACTACACTCTAGTTCACCAATGCATACTGCACTCTAAAACGTCAGTGAGCCCCACTTTTCTCAACTTCCTTTTTATATCTAACTAAAATTGTATGAATAATCAAGGTTCTATATTATCCGTACAGCTTGTCACCACATCTGTTGCACAGAGCAGTGGCTTCCATGTTTGGTACTCAGGGGGATGGTCAGAGAAAAAGGTCTCCAATTAGTCAATGAGCCTGTGAAAATCTTTTCCATTTGAATAGGAATGGTCTGCCTCTTGGCCTTTCCAGCTGCTTCCCCTTAGTTTCTGCTATGAAAGAGATGATATTAAGATTATCACGCAATGACAGCTGTCTGCTACAGACCCCACCAGAATGTCAATAAGCAGACACGTGATGGTGTGTGAGTGGGGGGAGATAGCAAGAGGCAGAAACAGGGAAAGAGATGACTACCAGTGCACGAAACTGTGGCACGCTTTTGAATAATTTCCATTTTACCAAATATCCTCCTCTATTTCCCATCAGCTTGGTGACACTGGTACCTACACCTGCATCGCCTCCACACCCAGTGGAGAGGCCTCATGGAAAGCCTACTTAGAGGTCCACGGTAAGACTTACCCATTTGTGAGGTTTAGTGTAGGAGTAGGAGTTATCCTCCTTTGTGAAAAAACTAATTAAATAAGAGAGGTAATAAAGGTTGGTGATGTTTTGAATGCCTTTTTCTTTTTTTTTTTACTGGGAAATATCAATAAACTACATTCTGACCTGTTTCTTTCCCTTTCTCTGTTCCACATCAAGAGTTTGGAGTCCTAGTCCAGCCAAACAGGCCTACTGACCCAAACCTGATCCCCAGTGCCCCCTCCAAACCTGAGGTCACTGACGTTACCCGGACCTCCATCTCCCTTTCCTGGAGACCTAACCTCAATGCTGGAGCCACACCCACTTCCTATATAATAGAGGCCTTCAGGTAAAACTAATCAGCTCAACGATCAGAAACAAAATAACTGCATGGCGTTAATGCAATCTCTTAAACCTTGATTATCTCTGTTGTGTGTCCACAGTCATGCATCAGGGAGCAGCTGGCAGACCTTGGCAGAGCACGTGAAAACTGAGTCATTTGTACTGAAGGGCTTGAAGCCCAGTGCAGTCTACCTCTTCCTAGTACGGGCAGCCAATGCCTATGGGCTGAGTGATCCCAGTCCTATCACTGAAGCTGTGAAAACACAAGGTGACAACTGCCTTCTTACTGAATTTGATACACAGTAACGCAATGTGTTTCTGTAGTTTCGGACAAGATGATTCATGTTTGATGCCTGTGCTGCTGCATACAGATATCCCTCCCACCAGTCAAGGTGTTGACCATCGACAGATCCAAATGGAGTTGGGAGAAGTGCTGATCCACCTGCACAACCCCACCATTCTCTCCTCCTCATCTGTCAGGGTGCAGTGGACAGTGAGTATTATTCTCTCCTTCTTTATCTTCAGACAGCTGCAGCCAGCTACAGATGGCCATATGGATCATTGGTATAGCTGGTCACTAAAGCTCCAAGGTTAGTTTAGTGATATGCCTATGGTCAATTCATCAGGCCACTCAGCCGAGCTAATGTTCTAACGCTCTAGCACCCTTCAGAGGAACGACACGGCAGGGAGCAGCTTGTAACACTGTCCAAGATTTCTTAGTGTCCATCTGGCATGAGCTTGAACTGGTCCGCTGGCCAGAGGCCAAAATTCTCGGCTTCGCCCACAGTGGACCACTCAACTGCCCAAAAGCCGGACTACATAGCCCGGCCTTCTGCGGGCCATGTAGTACCGGATAGCAGTGTGTGGCGTGCCAGCCTGTGCCCGATTGCAAGATTGAAAACACTTGAAGGCTGTTAAAATAAAAACAAGTGAGAGGGAAGAGGCGGCCAACTCCATGCTCTTAAGTGGAAATGGATTACAGATGTTAAAACGGATAGGTGGGAGAGGAAGAAGTACAAGTAGAAATGGGAGCTTTTGGTGGCTTTTCTTTGCTGGTACAAGCTGAATGTAAAGGACTTGTATCCACCTGCGATTGATCTGGTTAATGTATCTTTTTTTATATTATGAGTAAATATAATTATACTGTCCACCTCATACAGTTGATATTGGTCTGTGGGATGGCTCACTGAAAGGGAGCAGTCCCTGTTGTGCCTTTTGACATAGGGCCACCCCTACATTCCCAGGTATTATGAAGTGCCATAGTGAGTGATGAATGGGACTGAGGAAACGTGAAAAGGATACTGACATGTCAAGACTGATTTAAAACATTACTGCCCAGTTACCCTGTCTCCTTGGAATGTTCCAAAAAAACACATGACATGGGGGAGACTGACATTGCAGTTAAGTGCCACGGTTTCCTTGTTTTGTGGGGTTAAATCTATTCCCAATGTGGAGTTTCTTGGTTTTACATTTTCCTTTGTGTGGTGGTAAATGGTTGCACAGTTTTCGGGCTAATGAAGACCACCTGAGCCGGCAGCATATTTTATGGGGGAGGAATAAAAAGAAATCTGTAAAATCTTTAGCTGGTACTGCTTGCCTTCCACGGGGAGTCTTAGGGATGTAAGCATACGTGTGAGCAGTTATACTTTTTCTCCAAACATGCTGGATCACAAAGCAACACTTTATTTAGCTGCATCAGATGCTGTTGTTGATGCTGATGCATGTACTCTCAACTTCTGTAAAGACCTACTTTTCCCCCTCTTCCTTGACTTCAGCATCTAGTCACTACACTGTAGAGCAGGACAGGATGAGACAGGCTGTTCTGGGAGCCTGGGCCCTGTTTAACCAACTCCAGACTTAGAGGAACCTCTGGCCAATGACCTCATACTGCGGTTCGCACAAATCGCTGCTGCTCCAAATGGCGCATAGAGAGACAGTCAAAAAGAGAGATGTAGATGTGGATGGATAAACAGAGGGATGATGTGATGAGTTAGCACCCCATTCCACCCAGCGCCTGCCGTATCAGTTGCACAAATCCATAGCTTTCCGGTGATGCTACAATCCATTCCATTACTGTATCAGTTTCCACTGAACTGTGAAGCAGCTAATCAAGTCAAGCTGACACCATCTTTGTCTGTGTTCCCGTGTCATTCACAAGGTGGAGCAACAGTCACAGTACATCCAGGGCTACAAGGTGATGTACAGGCCTTCACCGGAGGGGCTGCAGAGGAGCGAATGGGCTGTGTTCGAGGTGCGGACCCCTGGGGAGGACAGCGCCGTTGTGCCGCAGCTTCGGAAGGGAGTCGCATATGAATTTAAACTCCGCCCCTTCTTCAATGAATTCCAGGGAGCAGACAGTGATGTCAAAATTGGCAAGACGCTGGAGGAAGGTGGGGGAGATGTGGATGTGTGCGAGTTTGCTTTAGTGCTTGCATGTGTGCATGCATGTTTTCATGTTTACACAATTTTATATGCACAGCCTGCATGTGTGAGAGTATACAGCAGCTGTTCACAGCAGGCAGTAAGGCCATGATTATGTTACGTTCAAATGTGGTGTATTCAAGCATGCTACGGTAGATGTTCAGCTCTTTAAAAGGCCCTATGGAAACCAGTATACAACACTTCAGTGCAAGTGTTTTGCTAATGTCTCGTAGGGTGTGGTTGTGGCAGTCTCATGAGGTTTGGTTGAAACCCAACTGCAAATTTTTATCTGTAGCGACCAGTTAAGAGAAATGTGAGCGTTTTGCTAGTGAATGTCTGCGTGTTGCATGTGTGGGAGTGTTTTGATCTTTTTTTTTTCTTCTCCTTTGTTCCCAACTCTGTTGATAATTGTTTTCAGAGCTCTAAAAAAATGCCTGTTTTTTTAACACTCGTGCTGTGATTACGTCTTTTATGTTGCATTCATAATTATTTCCGTTTAATTACCGTTGGACCGAAGGTTGGCGTTTAAACACCACCATACTACCCGTGTTCAGAAAGCCCTGTCTGTTTTGAGTAAACAGTTATTTGCTTTTATTTACCCACACAAAGGCACTTGTATTGTAATTTTGATTACTCGTCCTTTGTTCTCACCACAGCTTCTGTCTCACATAGAGATTAAGCTAAATGGAATGAGTGGAGACAGGGAGAGACTGCATGCATGTCTCATGTATGAAGGTGTGTTTTCTATCTTTTGTCAATCCCCTTCAGCACCCAGTGCCCCTCCTCGCGAGGTTACAGTGGCGGAGAGCGGGGACAATGGGACCGCCATCGTGGTCTCCTGGCAACCCCCTCCAGAAGAGGAGCAGAATGGGGTGGTCCAGGAGTACAAGGTAACACGAAAACAAAACAGCCAGCAGCTACCTCGGGCCTTAGCTAGTGGGACTCGTATTGTGGAGACACACAAAGGAGACACAAACAAGGATGCCCATAGAGCAGATAACAGAGAAAGAGACAATGCGCAGACATGGAAAGGTAATGAATTCCTGGTTGAGGCGCACCTTTGTACACTCCCCAGTGCTCTTCCTCTGTGTGATGAGAGAGGCTCAGTGACGAGAGAGGAAAGGAGTCTAAAACAGCGGAGCTGTTGGAAACTGTTGTGAAACAGTGCCACCTGGTGGAGATGGTAGAGCCACACATGTTCTGGCCATCCAAAGGTGAAGAGTAGTGAGAAATATCTGTGGTAATTATTGATAGGTTGTTTTCCTTTCTATTGGTAGTTATGCAGTAACTGGTGATTAAAGATCATAGTGTGTTTAGTGGAGATTAATTGCTGACATGTTCCATACATATAATGTGTTTTAACTATTTATTTCCACTGATACAAATGCAAATTAAAAGAATGCACCATTTTAAGTGTACCAACTACTTAAAAGTGAACTTCACTGTATTTACGGTATTATATGATCTAGTGGAGACATCCATGTAAAGGCAGCTGAGAGTGTACATGTAAGAGACTGGAGGGTAACAAGCTGTAATAATGACCAAGGAGAGACAGACCTCTATTATAATTCCAGTCATTTCTTTGGAATGATAATGAGTCCCCTTTTCCTCCTCCTTAGTTAATAATGTCTGCTCCTTTTGTAATGACCTGACGTTGGACAGAGCTGTCCACTCGCACGCTATTCTGTGGCAGTCCTGTACTTTAATTGGAAAGCCTTTTTTGCGTCACAGGAAATATAGGTTAGTGGCGGAAGGGGAGATGAGGCAGAGCCAGTGAAAAAGTTAAGCCACTGTTAATTTTCCAGGTAAATGTTTTCTGGTGATGGGCTTTAGAGTAATTTCATGGTTTTTAAGTCCAGCTCGAGAGCGTTCCCTGCTCATTACCGGGCCCTATTCCCTGGCGGCACTTCCACTTACCGCAATTTTTAAGATACACAGAAAATTTCAGGGCTTTGTAGTTCCATCACAGAAGAGCAAACACGCGCACACGTGTATAGGACAGACCCAAGGAAGTGTGTATGTTAACCTGGTTAACTGGTGGGAGGAGGTGGGGGGTAAAGAAAGCAGAATGTCAGGGGTTCAGGATGTGGAGGTCTTCAGGCCTCATGCTGAGCTGAATGTATGCTTCTCTTTGTGGGCCTGGTTTGAGTCAGCCTGTGAGACTAGTCTCCTTCCTGTGAGTGACAGCACTTAGCTTCTGCTGAAATTGGGTTATGGGGGTGATTGCTGATCCCCATTTGTTTTTCATTGGCTTACGGCTACACGGAGCCGTGTTATGGCTACCTCGGCTAATACTGACCCTGTGTTGAGCACAGCCTGTAAAACATAAAGCCATTTTATAAAATATGTTCCTACCTCAGAGATGTAACACAATACCCACGGTGCGCCGAAATGTTGCAATAGCAGCACCAACCAATTATGAGGACACAGATTGGTGGCAGCTACCAAACTGAATGTTGTCGAGAAACTCTCCAAACATTGCTTCAATCTCCACTTTCTCTTTGTCTCTGTTATTGCAGATTTGGTGCTTGGGGAATGAGAGCAGGTACCACATCAACCGTACAGTTGACGGCTCAGCCTTATCCGTGCTGATTCCCAGTCTGGCCCCAGGGATCCGCTACAGCGTGGAGGTAGCAGCCAGCACCGGGGTGGGTCCCGGGGTCAAGAGCGATGTCACCTTCTTCCAGCTCGGTGGGTAGAAACAACCTTTAGTCTCTTTCTCACAGGAGGTCATATGCTTATTTTTCTTTTGCTGTCAGTGGATACATTTGCTGTGTTTCAATGTGTTTGTCCTCCAGCAATTCTTTCACGCAGAATGAAACCCAATCATCTGACAAATAATTATGGCATTAATCCAGTCCATATCAAATGACGAGCTTTTCAGTAATATGACTCTCTGCCAAGTAAACAGACAATTATGTAATTCCTTTCTTTGTGATGGACTAGTCCAACCCTCTGCCTGTTTTCCCTTCCTTTATCACCAGCGATGCTTAAAAACAGCAATTGAAGTTGTTACTGTTATTGAGAAATCAGCAGGCTAGCCACGGAAGAGTATGATGAGTTTGGATGAAAGGGAACTTTGGTAGTTTTTGAGCGCAGAGATGGCTTTTAGCTACAATAGCTGGCAGTGTGATCAATGCGGGCACATTAAATTCCTGTGTGGCAGCTGTTGAGCTTGCTGCCCCACCCTGCTCTGCCTTTCAGTCAAGGATGCAATGATTCCGTCCTTTAGCAACAGCAATAATGAATCCTGCACTCCGGGCTCAGCCTTGACATGTTATTAACACTAAGAAACACAGTGCTGTCTGCAGTGGGGCTAGTTGTTATAATTTTATTCTAGTTTTTTTTTTTTTCCCCTTCTAGACGGACTGATATTTTGAGATTTTTTTGTCAGTTTCTATTCCCCAAATCTATGAGCTGGCCTGCTCAGGAGAAGGTTGTAAAACACGCGAATAGCAGGATGAGGCAGAGGGAGAGAGAGAGAGAACTCAATGTGGTTTTAAATGTGTGATTGAGTGGGCTGGGATGGGCACAAAGAAGCATCGGCTGTGACTGATACAATTCCTCTCCCTTGAAGAGTTCCTGTGGTGATTGTTGCCATGTTCCAACACTGGAGTGGAACAATGTGCCTCGGGGATCAGCGCTTCACCCGAATGCATTTGTCACACTCTGAGCTTGTGCGCGTCATCCCAGCCTAGATACCTGTACAGTCCCTTGTGGGCTGCTTAGTCACATTGGCAGACAGAGCCACAAATTGGGAAGACAGAGGAGTGAGAAGAGAGGCAGCGGAATGGAGACACGGACTGAGACAAAGACAGACGGAGGGATATGGAGAGGCAAAGGCAGGGAGCTGGTTTTGTCTGGGAAGTGTTTTTGCCTCTGGCTTAGAGAGTTGGTGGAGAAGAGTGACTACAACATGAAAGGCTTGAGCAAAAGAGATGAAGACAAAGTAACACAAACATGAAGAAATTTCAGAATAACGGGGGTTGGGGCAACCCGAAGAAGTCTTTCATGTATCACGCACGAGGGAGAAGCACAGAGAGAATAGACGGATGAGAAAAACAGACCGAACGAGTTGTTGTGAGCAGCCGTTCAGACTGTGCCTTAACACAGTGCATTTCACAGTAGAAACAGCTTTGAGGCGTTCACACCTCGGTTTTCACAGATGTGCCCAAGTTTGCTAATTACTGTATTTGAGGATGATCTCATTGGATTTATTTATGTGATTATGAATCCACCATTGCTCGGTGTAAGTGATGCCTCTCTGTGTTTTCCTATCCGGCTCCATCAGGCTTGTGTGGCACACAGGCTCTGTTTGAATGTCTTTGGTTGCTTTCGTCTGCTCACCTGCCATTGTTGACTGGGATTTGAGATGAAAGCCTTTTGAATAATAGAGAGAAACGACTCCATTTCCACAACCCAGCCTCATACCCACCCACTGCTGCTGAGAAGAACAATCTTTTTGTGCATCAGGAGAAGGAAGAATGTTCATATTTATGTACTGTGCTGACTCCATTTGTTTCAAATATACTTTCTCTATTTCAGGCTTTTCCACTTCGTTTGAGTTTTAGGTTTTAAATAATATTTCTTTCCCTCTTTTCTCTTGTTTTTCACATTCCTAAATCCCCTCTTTTCACTTGTGCTATCCAATTTTGTACCACCAAATGTACCTTTTTTTTCTATCCTTTCTAATCCTGCTTTCACATCTCCTCCATTCCCTATCCTCAGATGCGTCTGGGCGAATGACAGAGACCGTGGACCAGCAGAACCCCCTATCCCAGCAGATTTCAGATGTGGTCAAGCAGCCGGCCTTCATAGCAGGCATAGGAGCCGCTTGCTGGATCATCCTCATGGTCTTCAGCATCTGGTTGTACAGACACCGAAAGAAGAGGAATGGCCTCTCCAGCAGCTATGCAGGCATACGCAAGGGTCAGTACATAAGTGCAACAGTACACGTTTTACGCTATCAGGAATATCTACTTCAATTTCTGATTTTCAGTGCTGGTTTGGGGTAACATGAGGTTTAGTTACTTGCGAAATTTGGTGAGAAAATGCAATGCAATATTTATTTGTGTGGTACTGTGTTTATTTCTGTTTAAAAACAATCTCGTCCATCTTCTGCATCTTCCCAAATGCTGCCAACCTACCTCACATCCTGCCTGTCACACACAGAGAGATGTCTTTGTAGAGTGCCTGAGGTGAAGTCTAACCAAAAGTCCAACAGTGCGCTTTAGGATGTGATGTGAGCCCCCGCTGAGAGTCCTGCATGAAGACATCTTTTATTCCTTTTTCATACTTCTGTCACACTGATTCTGCAAGGGCATGTGAAGAGTGTTTTCAGTAAAGTACATTTTGAGGTCCAACAACTCCGCTTTTAGCAACTCCCCTCTGACTGTGCTGGGAAAGAGAGAATGTCTTACCATAATACCTCTTTATCAAGGACATGCTGACATTTGCACATGCTTGAAGTACTCTCACTGTCCTTTTAGAGAGGGGCCTTTTGATATGGAGGAGTTGAGCATTTAGCAATCTAGTGTCTACTTACCATATGTTTAGAAACATCCAAGAATCACTACCCGCGCTGCATTTCAACCTTCTAGAGTAGCCACAGTGTAACCCAGTCGGTTTGTACCTGACTTGAGTCAAAGTGACAGGGCTCATGACATGCCCAACCTCTGCCCACAATAGTTAGAGTATAAAGAGAGCTATTAGCCTTTCTTTCTGAGTCTCATTTAAGTGTGGGCTGGCTTAATGTGTGGCCTTGGGCTGTGCAGCTGCTGCCTGTGAGCGCTACCTGCGCCGTCTTTACTCCTGGGCTCAGGTTTACTGCTGACTGCAAGGGTTAGAGGAGATCCGCCCTTCAACCCTGAGACGCACACAGACAATGTGCTAATCTGTGGCTGTTATACAGAAAACACAGTGAATCCACTGCAGTCATGCTAACAGTGGGGGTTGTGAGTCATGTGAAAGTGAGAGACACCTCAGCTAAGCTTTTCCTTAAGCACTGTGGTCTTTCATAATTTGTACACTTATATATGGTCTTTAATGGTCACAACTGTGGCTTTCTATATTTTGGTATGAAAAAGATATTGTTTTGAACTTCTTATGAAAGACCAATATGACATTTCAAATGATGTCTTGATTTTATTGTATTTTCTGATAACACACTAATGCCTATATGTTGTTGGATGTTGTTGTTTGGTTCCAGAGTTAGTGTTGCTATGGGAAGAAATGATGTGCAATCTGAGATTTCCTCATCCAAGCTAATAGCCTCAGAGACGATACCAATATTCTTTTAACCAAAGTAACTTACAAACAGGGGTTCTTCAGAGGCAATGCGCCGATACAGAATAGTAACTTTGAAGGCTTTGAGTGACAGTATTGATCTGTGGCCAGGCGGCAGAGAAGACTGTAGGCCGATGTTACCCTCTGACTCTCTGTGATTCTATATGCTGATGTTAACTCCCATAAACTCACAAAGCTCTTCAGGGGCACAGTAGGCAGACATGCCCCCCTCCTTCTTCTCCTCCTCCTCCTGCACCCAGACCACAAGAGGCCACGGTCTTTGTTGGAACTGGTTACTAAGAATGTTTTGAAAGGAGTATAATTGCAACCACATGAAGCAACAATCTGCACTCGGGGTGAAATTGTCTGAATTGAGACTTGTGTATGTGTGCATCTGCTACAGTGCATGCTTGTGTTGCCTCTATCGATATTCAAATTTGTCAACTTTAAAAAATGTTAAATAGCTTTTTTTCTTATTTCCCTGCCAATGATTATCATGTAAACCCTATGGTGCTCATGTGTTGACATACTGTATTGTATTACACATTTTATTATGACTGCTGTAGAAATCCTCAAAAACAATCTTGTAACTGAAATACTCCAAACGCATCAGCTAAAAAAAAAAAAAGCCTGAGATTACAGTCACCAAATTATTACTCAACGAAGACGCATTGCTCAGTAAAAGCTTCGTCTACTCCGGGATTGAACATCTTACACATTCTTGTGTAAGAATTGATCCCGGTTCATGTATTTCAATCACGTTTGCATTTCTCACAGATGTTTTGTCTTCCGAGTGTTGGTCTGTTCCTTCATCAAAGGCATTCATCAAACAGATAACAGCCATCCAACTGCTCATATCTGAAGACTAGTTTGAGCATCAAGAAGAGAGATTCAGACATGATAGGATGCTTGTGGCATTTAGAGGACATTTGTTGGCGCAGGTTCTGTATGAATGAATTGTTTGAGGACATGAAAATGTGACAGCAGCGTCTTTCATCTCAGTTGTCTCATTCTGTAGGTTGAAGACAGACAGCAACATTTCTACGATGCACATATTTAAGGCAGCGTACTGGATGTCTACTAGCATGGTGCAATGTTGCATCAACGGCAATCCATACTTTAGCTTCCTTTACTTCTTCAAAGAGGGCAGCAACAAACTAAGTGCATTTTATAAAAGATACCCACAACCCAAACTCGCCATGATTCTGAATCTGCCTATTTTATGTTACTCTTTTGCACATGGGCCCCTTTCATGCCAAAGTGTAAGTAATTGAGCTGTATGTGTGATGATGTGAGTGTTAGAGATGGCAACAGATATCTCCCCAGTGTGTGACCCCTGCCCAGCAGGCCTCTGACAGTCTGAGCCGGGATTTGAACCAGCAGCTGGCTCAACACTCACTTTCCCCCCCCGGTTTGGGTCCAGGGATGTCTGCAGGGATCAAAGACTAGGGGCCAGCGAGTAGCGTGTGAATGCAGGCTAAAATACTTTGTGGATTTGTGTACTTTCAAAGAAACTATGTGGTGATGAAGCCTATACATTAAGTCCCAGGAACTTATTCCGGACGGTGCTGACGCACAATAAATCAATGCTTTATTTTCTTTATTTTTTCTGTCCCTACAGTGCCATCCTTTACTTTCACACCAACAGGTAAGCACTTTCTTACTTTTTTTTTACTTTATATACAATATGGGATGTCTACTTTTATTCATTTACTGCACAGTACACGAGCAACAACCTTTTCAATACATATGTGAAACACTCATTTTAATGGCCAGAGCAGCCTCATTCCTAATAGATTCGAGCCGTTTACTGTAGAAAAGAAAGCGAGGGGACACTCGGTCAGCACCAAGAAATAACGAGTCAAAAATGGGCACAGTTTAGAGATCTACCTGCTAGAAATAAATGTTCCACCAAATGCTTGGGTCGTGTCAGAGCGTAATGCTTCTAGAGAGGCAGGCCACACTACTGAGAGGCTGTTAAAACTAGTGGTTACTTGATCAAAGTGCTGCTGGCAACTTCATAGGGGATTTAAGAGAATGACACACCACCAGCACTCCAACATACCAATTAGATAGGCTGCAGTAGCGGAGCTAAGGAGGTTATCTTTGAATTGAAGTGACACAGTGTAAAATAGATAAAAGAAAAGCTCTCTGTGCCTCTCTATCTTTCTTTCTCTCTCTCCGCGTGTTTGTATTTACAGTCCTCCTTTTTCTTCCACTCGTGGACTTTCATCCCTCTGAAGTTCTTTGTTCCCTAGAGGTGTGTCAGGGGTGTTGGCAGTGCTTAGTGCAATGGTGAATGTGAAACAGTGAATGGGTGAGAGGAAGTAAAGGTGAGAGAAGGAGAGTGAGAGAGACAATGTTGTACAGTTTGTGTTTGTGGTATGGCTGATCCTGTCTGTGCAGAGGTCACATATAAACAGTAGCAGTGTTGTTCCTGACTGCCTCGAGGCTTGCAATCAGGTAGAATCATTGCAGTCGCAAGCTTATTTTTTTGATCTGCTGGAAATCTTTCAGGTGAAACCCACTCCTTGATTGTGTGGTTAGGTTTCTGTCTCTTTAAGAAGAAAACAAATCCCTGTGCTGGTAGCCGGTGTGAAACCAGGATGTCACAGTGCCTTACGCTGCAATTTTAATCTTGAATTAGATTGTGATACTTTGGTTTGCATTAGAGAGAGCTAATCTAAGAACTCCTCTGTCTGCATGCAAAGGGCCAAAGCCACACTTCCTGTTTTGAAAATGAGACAGAATCAACACAGCTAAGGCCCGACCTCCTCCTCTTCCACCTCCACTCCTCTCAGGGAAAAGATTGGAATTCAAGTTGGAAGTTTATCTCTCCTTCACACACCGGCAGCTTAGAGCTCCTTGAAAGAGTCCAACTTTCAGTGCGCAGAGCTTCAAACATACTGAACCCAAGCCAGACAACCAAAGAGCTCTGCATCTCTGTTCTTCATAAGCCTCTTACATATCCTCCTCCTGTTTCTGTTGCTGTACGTGTGTGTGACTCAGCTGAAATTATGCCACACACACACTCATTTACATTCTCACTTAAACTGATACAACAACTCATACTTGTGAAAAAGTAGCATTCCCATCATCGCTCACAAAACGGACTATTCATAATCAATATTAATAATTGGACCTTCTATGACGATGGCAAAGATGCTAATGTGATGACAGTAGCAATAAATCATGTCGGTAACTTGTTTTCTCTCTTTTCAGTGGCATATCAGAGAGGAGGAGAAGGTGTAAGCAGCGCTGGAAGGTAAGAGTTTATTTATTGTTTTGAGAAAGAGTCTGTTTAGTAATATTTTAAATACTAACCACATTTTGGGAAATTGAACGAGGATGGTAAAGCTCCTGAACAGATGAGTAGGGTTGGGCAAGTGTACTTCTTTCCAACGAACACTAGGGGGAGTGCTGTGACTTTCTTAAGCAGCAGAGAGCTGAGGAGGGGTAAGGAGGTGCATTAAATATGTTATGATAGCAGGAACAAAGCCCCATGTAGTCTGCCAGGAGCCCATCCTCATCCTATATGGTGGAGAGCCACATCCAACCACAAGGCTGTGCCATAGCTTCACCCTAAAACATGAATGGAGATGCATGCACACACACATAGCAGTAACGGCACACCTCTTCGTGTTGTGGAATGGTGCATTGTGCACAAACACTGACATCTGAGACTGTGCGCATGGCAAACACTGCATCAACTTGCTACCACATGTTTACATATAGCGGGGAAATAGTGAAAATTGAGTATGCAGACAAAAAGAGGAAATATGTATTTAATTGTTGCCCTGTCTTTACTGAGAGTACATAATCTACACAGCACTGACTGTAAGTGTACATGAGTGTGCGTGTTGTTCATGTGTGAATAAATAGTTAGCTTGGAGCCATCAGCAGTAAATCCATATTCATTATATTATCCAGCTCTATGATTGAATCCCATATGCAGCATGGCTGTGTCGGCTCTGCACAAAGACAATGGCCATTCAATATCAACACACAACTGCCGGGGTGATTGAGGAGCTATTGTGAGATTGTATTTGGCTGTGCAAGACAAATGTGTTCATTACCCAAAATGAATCCAAGAAATGAGTCATTTGAGAGGGAACGAGGAAGCGTAATTCAATGCTAATTCAGTGTTGGAATATGCAAACTGGAAGTAATACTGTGGGCATTTGAATACTGAAACATGGTATATGGCCCTGGTAGAGTAGCCTGCATTCCCTTTGTATGCTAGATTGATTCATTTCATGAGCAATAGAAGGCTATTTATTCCCAGCCACTTTTAACACTCAGTGGTTGGCCTGAGGTCATGTTGTACAGTAGAATCCAGTTGAACAAGTGATCTTGTATTGTATTGGGAATAAAGCCGAAGAAAGGGGAGCAAGGCATGGAAACAATAGAGACGGATGGCCAGGCGATGACGTGAAGGACTGGTCCGCCTGGGTTTCTCTTCTGGTGCTCCAGTTTCCTTCTGTATAGCTAAACAAAGTTTTTTGTTTTTTAAATGACAGAGATGTTTTGTGACATCATAGAATCTACTCAGGGAGCATTTGCGGTTCACTGGCTGTTCAGGACGCACATTTCGCAACATTGGGAGTGAATTTTATCTGGTTGTCTAATCCAGGCAGTTCGCTAATGCTCGTGAGGGCTTAGGGAAAGTGTCATCGGCTCTGTGCAAGTCAAGCACACACAATCTATTTAGCTGGGCTTTTTTCTAATGTGCTCCCCGGGCCTTTGTGTGTGTGTCTGTGTGTCTGTGTGTGTGTGTGTTTGTGTTTGTGTGTTTGTCTGTGGCTAAAAGGCAAAAAGTAGTAAAGCTGGATGTTTCCTATTGTCAGCTGCTGGATAAATAAATTCCACATAATCTCTTTCAAATCTTGTGCTACTGTGGGTGTTTCAGTTCATTCACATAAATGTTGTTGTGGTGTTGGCTTAGTCTCTTACTATTGTTAACCATTTAGTCCCATTTATTTTACAGGCCTGGTTTGCTAAACATTGGGGAATCTGCCACTCAGCCCTGGCTGGCAGACACATGGCCCAACTCCTGCTCCAACCACAAAGACTGCAGCATCAACTGCTGCACTGCAGGCAATGGCAACAGCGACAGCAACTTGGCAACGTACAGCCGCCCAGGTATGTGGTGCCGACACTTCCGTACGTAGGAGACAACCAAAATAAACACTCCCTCAAACGCAATGATGCAGTCCTTGACAAAATAACGGTGGAGATAACAAATGTAGGAGCTGGGGGAATCCACGGTGCAAAAGGAAGCAAAATCGGATATCTGGGTTACCTCCCTGGAGAGTTGTTCTGTGTATCTCTCCTTTCTATAGCTTTCCACAAGAAAAAGACCTGAAGAAATATTAGGATTAAGAGAGGCTGTGTGCTTGTGTATTTGATTTATCTGAGGTTAAAGTAGAGCTGTTTTAGGCAGGAAATAAAAGGAGCACACTGAGAGGGGCTTATGGCTCTACTCTGTTGCTAATCGAATTGCTCTGCTGATTTCCATACTGTTGTTATAGCCGGTAATGTAATTTCCCTTAAGTGCTCAGTTATTTAAGAAATGTGCAGCGGGCAAAGAGGTCAAGGCTGGACTGCAGACGGTGGCCAGAAGCAGAGGAAGAGAGAATGATAGAGGGAGAAGTGTGCACCTGGAAGACCAGATGGGATGGGGGGAGAAAGGAGTGATGACGAATGCGTATATGCTAAAACATACACTGAAATGTATGAGTGGAGGTGGAGAGCGAGAATGTAGGATAGGTGGAGAGGAAATAAGGGAAAGCGACTGATGGAACACCACCAGGTGGCCTTTTGTTTATTCAGCACTAGTGTAGTTGTCAAAAAAAGGGAGCAAATGCGGCCTCAAAATCGTATACACTATTACTATACAATATACAATACTGTATCTCACACACACACACACACACAAGGTGACCTATCACATCAAAGGGAGCAGAGTAAAACTTGTAGCCAAAAACGTCAGCGTGGATGACACAGGACTTAGTTATTCATTTTCAGCTGTGACCCAAGTCTTAAACAACCCTTTCCTTGGAAACTTGGACTGTAATGAAATGCTTTATGTTCTAAATTAGGCACTTTGGGACTGTGCCTTTAAGGGCAGACCATAATTCCTGTCCAGCTGTTCTGCCTAATATCCATCCAGCCATTCAATAGTTTCTGCCTGCTTCAAACCTTTCCCAATGAGGATTAATAATTCATTTAGTCGACATAGTCATCAAGTTTAGTTTTTCCTTTGTGCTAATCAGCCGTCTGTGGTTGAAGTATTCCAGCCTACCTTAACATGGTGTAAGATGTTTAACAGGCTAAAGGCAGCTCTCACTCTTCGCATGACACCCCGCTGTATGACACTAAGGAGCTTGCCAGACGCATGCTTTGTGTGTGTGCCAAACTAAACTCTGTGAACATTAAGAGGATCACTGACTAGGTGACAGTGCAAAGAAATAGGACTTAATGTCCCTTTATCTCAGCCATAGGGGCGCCTTCACACATCAACCTTTGAAGTGTTGAACTGTTCCGTGCTGCTGAAATGTGAGGCGCGTGGCGCGAGCGGCGTGCACCTACGGCCGGCCTTGGTATTTACTGCAAGGCTGGCTCTTAGATCTGCTGGAGGATTTGAATATTTTATGAGCCAGAGAAAATTGGATCTGTCAGTGGCGCTGTGCTTTTACTGCGAGCCTCATTCCAGGTCTTTGATACAGACATGTCTTTCTGTCCCTCTCAATGAGCAAAGATGCTCCCACCGTCAGATGGAAAATAACACCCAGATGACACCCACATTGTGTCATGGATGAGACTGAGCGAGAAAGGTGTTATACCACCTGTGTCAGTCACCTAAAGTAGATCATCATTTGATTTGGCAAATATAACAGAGACTATAAACGGAAATATGAAAAAATGTCTCTCTAGTGTCCCTCTTTCCAAAGCTTGAAATTATTATGTAAATGTGTTTGCTTTCCTCAAATAAATGCTTTGATCTCGACGGTAGATCAGAAGATGCCCTATTGTTTCAAACTTTCACCAAACTGGCATACTGCTCCTAAGCTAATCAGCTTTAGACGAGATTGACTAAATAACCTCCTCATGTTCTCCAGCCGACTGCATCGCCAATTATAACAACCAGATGGAAAACAAGCAGACCAACCTCATGGTGCCAGATTCAGGAGTCTATGGAGACGTTGACTTGTCCAACAAGATCAATGAGATGAAGACCTTTAACAGCCCAAACCTGAAAGATGGCCGCTTTGTGGGTCCAGGGGGCCAGCCGACACCGTACGCCACCACCCAGCTCATCCAGTCCTCCATCATGGGCAACAACGTTAACTCAGACAGAGGAACCGGAGGGAGTGGAGGAGGACTCCTGGGTGGAGGGGAGATGAATGAAAAACACTGCTGGAAGCCCCCCTCAGTTCAGCAGCAGAAACAAGAAATGGCCTCCCAGCTACAGTACAACATCATGGAGCAAAACAAGCTGAACAAGGGTGAGTGTGTGGAATACTCAGCAGCCATGGTTAAAGAGGTCATCTCCAAGCCATGAACTTCCTCCACTTGATTTTCCCCTCTGTCTTCTCCTCTCTCCCGGCTCATCCAGCTTCACTGTGGAAGCCTGTAGAAGAGTTCCACGCTCATATTTTCCTCGGTTCTGTCTCTCGCTCGTTTTCAGTCAACATCACTCTTTATTTCTGCCTCTCTGTATGGCATTCATGTAACCCTTCATCATCCGCCATGCAATCATGTTCAATCTTTGCCATTAAATGTGGGCCAGGCCTGAATTGCTGTCGTCATGTGGTATCCGGGTTTTCTTTTTGTGTTGAAGGCAGGTGTGAGTGTTTATCTTTGGTGTCAGATTTCTAAAGGACAGACAAAGATATTTAACCGCTTTGAACGAAGCTATCATCACCTTATTGTACCTGCAGAAGGGAACCACATCTGGTGTGATAGTTTTGAGATTTTTTTTTTGCAGATGTTGCATGTGTTCACCTACTCACCTGAAAATGATAAAGCATGAACTGCATGCCTCTTGTTGTGTGTAAAAGAATTTCACTTTGCCATTGCGAAATGGTTTTGTTCTACCGATGAAATACCATCCTTCATTTCCTTATTCATTAAAAGTGGATGCTTTGCTTGCAAGTTTCTGAGTTGGCAAAATGTCTGCCTGGGGCCGTACTAACTATACACTCCATTCTTCCCACCTTCAGACCGCTACAGAGGAGGGGACAGCCCTAGCCCTATGCCAGCCACCATCCCCTACAACCAGGCCCATGACATTCACACTGGAGGCTCCTACAACAGCTCCGACCGAGGCAGCAGTAGTACCTCCGGTAAGAAAGTTATGGCAAAGGAAAAAGCAGAACAACTTTTTAGTGAAATAATGACTTTCAATGACGTTTTCGAGGACATACTATACTATGACATTTTATGACTTTATTATTAACATACTATATTATGACCTATTTAACCTAATTTAATTTAACTGCCAAATTTTCCCAGCTTATTGTTATTCTGAACCATATAATCACACACAACCCCCGGCTCTATTTGAAAATCCCAGTATTGCTCAAAAGCAATAAATCACTTTGAGATGCTAATAATGCATGCTTTTAAATGGTAATTTGATTGATTTCCATGTCAGCTTACATTGAAGAGAAATTGAAAGGGAGATGCCTTCAGAAAGTGGAAAATTGCAGAACAAAAAGAGAAGTGGAAACTGATAACAATGACTCCAAACAAAGACATGAGCACAATGCCAGGCATTTGCTCGTTGTTCCTTTTGTTTTCTGGGTGCAACGTCATCCAAGGGATGTTTAAAACAAATTTGATAAAAGGAGCCTTTTTTTAAAAAATTAATTCTGTTTTGTTTCTCAGTTTCTCCTTTAATTGGCTCTACTTTAATTCCAGTATGGAGAAGCCTAATTTCATCAGGGCCTCAATGTCTGTCTGCGGACAAGGACAAATGATAACACATTGCAGACGGCACGCAACACTGCCACCTTAATGCCATGTATCCATTCTGATATTGCGTTTGAAGTTCAAGCCATTAAGGAGAAGCCTTTAGTGCTCGCTGCACCTCACAGCTCATTGGTTCACAATTCTAATAGTTTGGTATTAATTGGGCCCCTTCCTCCTACCTTTCCTCTTGGTACTTGCTAACACTGCTGTAGGGAAATGGCTGTGTTTTATAGTATTTCCCATCATTTATTAGCTGAGAGGTATGTGTGCACACTTGCATAAAAGTGGAGGGTTAGCATTAGCCTTTGCACTCTTGCATGTAAAATGATCTTTTCTTTGTCAGCCAGTCGTGTTAATGTATTTTAACTGCTGTCAATTCCTTGCTCATTACCTTGCGATTTCTTCAACATTAATAATTGATGTGCTTTTCAGAGACAGAGTGAATATAAGTATGTGTGTCTGCAGGTGTCTTGCGACTGACAGTGTTTTTTTTCATTTTTGAGCAGGGAGTCAGGGTCAGAAGAAGGGAGTGCGCACCCCCAAACTACCCAAACAGAGCACAATGAATTGGGCTGACCTTTTGCCCCCTCCCCCTGCAAACCCACCCCCAAGTCGGAGCACAGAGGAGTACTCCCTGTCGATGGAAGAAAGGTGGGACATGTCTGCACAGACACAAAGACACAGACGAGCTGACAGGCATGCACACACTATTTAAATACGAGTTCATTCTTCTCGCCTTTTCTGTCGTTTCTCGCCTCCATTGGAAGCATTTGCCCCAAGGGTTTCCTATCCATTAGTGCTAGGCTCTTGTCAAACCTTGATAGAAGGGTGCCATGAATATTCAGTTTGTTTTCCTGGCTTCAGTATATGAAAACATTCGTTATTTTTGTGTGAGTGATATCACGGTAACGATGCTTGTTTCCCTCGGTTGGCAGCTGTGAACCAGACATGCAGTGCCCCATGCCCCCCTCTCACATGTACCTGCAGCCTGATGAGCTGGAGGAGGAAGAGGAGATGGAGAGGGGGCCCACTCCTCCCATCCGAGGGGCAGCCTCTTCACCTGCAGCTGTATCTTACAGTCACCAGTCCACAGCCACTCTCACCCCCTCACCCCAGGAGGAGATGCAGCCAATGCTCCAGGACGCACTTGACAGCCATGAACGCAGGTACACCTGTGTGATGTCTACTAGCGAAACAAGCAGCAACAGGAGAGTGTAACGGTGTAAAGGTTTTCAGGGAATTTATCAATTATTTGAAGCCTCAAAGAGAATCACAATCTCCCAAGTATTTGAAATTCACAACTCTTTTTATGTTTTAGCTCATTAATTCCAAAGCCTGTATTGAACAGAGCTCGTGGCCATTTTTCAAAAGCAGATCTTAGATTTTAGATTGATTTCTTACATTCTTGGGAGCCATTTGTTTCAGCTCATTTCAGTACAGTACATAAATCGACTTGCAATGGTTTGATTGTTTGAAATAACAAAGACATCAGTCTAAATATTAATATTTGTCCAAGTAATATTTTTTTTTTGTGGTAAACCAGCTGTGAGCAGGAATTCATCCTTGTTAGTGCTCAAATAAATGAAGACACCATAAATTCACGATTAAGCTGCCAAACTAAATAATAATTTACATCATTGTTAGCATTTTTTTTATTGCTTATTATCTGGTTCTGAAAGAGCACAATATTGCTACAAACTCGCAAACATTTGCTGAGGTGTACTTCAGAAAATCATCAGAATGAATTTAAATTACATGTGATTTGCAGTTTGGTCCCATGATGCTGGTATATTTTACTTTTTATACATAATATATCCATTCATGACGGGTTTCTGATACTGCATGTTTCTTACCTGTTGCAGGCGCCACACTGTGAGCCCCCCAGCCCCTCCAAGGCCCCTCTCTCCTTCACACACGTATGGGTACATCACCAGCCCATTGGCCTTGGACACTGATGGTATGGAGGAGGAGGATGATATATTGGAGGAAGAGGAAGAGGAGGGTGACGAGACAGATGCAGAGGTGGCCAAGATGCACTACCACCACACACACCCCCACACACACCCCCACCATCCCCAGATGCACCCTCGAAGGTTGCTGCTACGAGGGCTTGAACAGACGCCCGCGTCCAGCATGGGCGACCTGGAGAGCTCGGTGACCGGCTCCATGATCAACGGATGGGGATCCGCTTCTGAAGAGGATAATGTCTCTTCAGGGAGGTCCAGTGCCGTCAGCTCATCAGACGGATCATTCTTCACTGATGCTGACTTCGCTCAAGCGGTTGCTGCAGCTGCAGAGTATTCAGGCGTCAGGGTGGCCAAATATCCCAACACACTGGGTCCCGAAGTTGGAGGAGCTTCTGGTAGGTTTTATTATATAGTCGCCACATCCACAAGAAACGATACTGCGAAAAAATATAAGGAACAGTAAAGCAAACTAAACTATCCCTTTGTTGCTTTTCTCAGCACGAAAATACCAAATAAACCCGCCAAGCCACCGCCCTGGTAGCCCAGTGTCCACAGACAGTAACATGAGTATGGCAGCTGTACACAGGAGGCCTCCTAAGAAGCAGAAACAGCATCCTGCAGGTCATCCAGGAAACCAGCGACGTGAACCCTATAATGAAGGTACACATGAATAACTTGCAGTATTAACAAAAACACAATAATTAGGATTTCAAACTATTTTCAAAAAGGAAGATACTCATGTGGGATATGTATCGCATGTTATTGTAGATTTCTACCCGGATAATTAATATCAAGTGAGCTACTCTGTTGCTACAAATATAACTTGTGTATTTCTATGTAAACTTCCTGTTCAGGCCTGAAGTTTAATTTATAGAAAATAGTCTCAATTTATGTTGTGGCCTATAATATTGGTCTGACTGTGATTTGAAATATTGCAACTATCATCTACTAACTAACTCTTAAGTTGGTAATGGGTATGAACAGGGTTGTCTGTAAAGGTACGAATGACTTAATACAGCCAACAGACTAATAGAGAGATAGACACAAAATAGTTAAGCTGTATCCCACAAGCACACAGATGGCCAGTTTGTATCAATGACTCTGCCTCCATTCCCTCTACAGATATGGGAGGGAAAATGCAGTTTAGTGTGATGTAGTGTCCGTAAATGACTGAGTTTGGATGTGCCACGAGCCAGAGTTTTTATCATCTTCTCTCATGTGTTTATGCACACGCATACATGGCATTGCTCCTAATCTGTGCAGTGCCGAACAGATCGGGCGAGTAGCGGGCTGGAGGCCAGGGCCATGGCGGGGAGGAGTGGAGGGGGGTGTTGTCTCAGGGGAGCTCTGCCCAGCTTGGCTGTGCTGACACTGGGATGTCTCTCCACTCTAGCCACTAATGAAATTGATCCAGGTGCTGTGGCTCATACTGAAGTGCCACCTTTTACTCGGTCGGAGTCGAACATAAGCTAAACGGGGGCTAAATACCGGAGCAGCTGTACACAGAAGGAAGAGCTTTAACCTTGTTAAGTAAAAGAGCAATTTACTTTTTACAGCATCATTCTTTACAACAAACAGCCTACCAGTGGGGGAAAAAACACTTTTTCTGCCCGTTTCCTCTCGGCTTTGATGTATGGAAATATCTTCTTTTTTTATTTATTCATCACCACACAATCACTCCGTGTGTACAGTATGTGCTGTCCCAGAGATGGCTCTCCTCTTAGTGTCAGGTGTCCTTGAGTGTTGGAAGCGCTTGACAGGGAGATTTAATATCCAACTCACTGGGAGCCAGACCAGCTATATCACTGCACAAAATCCAACCCCCCCCCCACCCTAAACCTCCGCCTCCTGCCATCGTCCTTATATCCTGGCTTCTTCCCCATTCGCTGCCCCTCCCTGTGAAATGATCTCTCCATCCCATTCTACTCGCTCCTCTTCTCCCAATCTCCCCTCTCCTCCATCTTTGTTTGAGCAGTGAGGGGGCGGACTGACAGCTCTGCAGCTCTGTCTGTCTACCAGTTCTCCTGCTGATTACATTTGATCTGAATGGATTGTTTTTCATTTGGAGGTTATATAACCCCCCCCCCCCACCCAACATTCTGTAGTCTGGAAGGCTGGTGCTGAGATGAAGGAAGGGGGTTTCATTTAGTTAAGGACAGTAAAGAAATAAAACCCTGACATTGTTTGTAATGCACACACTGTGTGTTTCTATAATTTGTTTGTTTTCGTCTCTTTACCTTTCCATGTACTCTAGACTGAGACTACTATCCAGACAGCCTTACCTACTCATTTCACCCTCGTTTGCACAGTGGATGCAGATGCTCCAAAGTTATATTCCCCCACGTGATTCATATTGTATTTGACTCTAATGCCTTTGTCTACCTCCTCTCTGTACTTAACCCTTTCCTGTCTCTCTTGATCTGTCTCAGCCTTGTCTGCTTAATACACCCTCCTTGGCAAGCCCAGAGACACTTTTCAGACCTGAGCCCTGTCCTCGCAGATATTCACTCATAAATCTAACGGGCGCTCTGCTCTTCCCTAGTAGTGAGGCATATCTCACAGACTGTGGCATTGATCGGACTGAGGCATGACTCAGGAGGCAAGAGAGATATTAAAAAAAACTGCAGACGCCTATCTGCTGTATGATATTGACTGCCCCCTTTTGTATTCAAGAGTGGATGGAGGTGTAGGATAATCAAAGGAGTGTATTGAAGCTGCCTGATTGTACCAACAAGACATCATCTGCCCCTTCTCCACAATCTTAAAAAGTCTAAGGTTGCTTTCCAAATGAAAGCAAGGTGTAAGATTTGCCACGTGATACGTTTATTAGCTTTCTAATCCTGTGTGGATTATGAGCGTGGTTGCTGACAAACCCATCCTTCAGGTCAGAAGCTGAAAAGCCATTGATCGCAGGCAGAAAAGGCTTTTTTCTCTGCATTTTGTTTAGCTGGCAGTGTGATGTGTGAGAGGCCGGGTGGCCCACTGGCCGGCCTCGTATGAATAATGGCTCAAGGACAAGCAGCATTGATTCATTGACGGGGGAGTTTCGAGCAGGTCAGAGAGCCAGCTGCTGACCGTCACGCTCACCTCTTCCTCCTCTTCTGCCTCTCACTCAAATCTCATAAATATCTATCCAGATTCGGCCTCTCTAATGCCATCTGTTCTGTTTACTGTCTGTACAGAGGAGTTTCTGTTCGGCATAGCTCTGTGTACACACACTGCAGCTGTGTTTGTATATCACCTTGCAGGTCCGAGACATCTGAGTGAAAGATGATACACACTAAAGTTTCAGAACTTAAAAAAAAAAAATGTTGATGTCTGTGGTTAATGTTCTTTCTTCCTGTGTTTATCCTTCAGGTCTCCCACCTCCGCCAATCCCACCTCCAGCAGTGCTCAAGTCTCCTACACACCCCTCCAAGGCAGTCCTAGAGGGCCGGGGAGTGATTTCACCCAAAGCAGGGGAGGTTCGAGACAAGAGAGGAGGAACGGGGGGTTATCGGCCCAGAGAGGGCTCGGACCCCAGAAACACCTCATCTGAACGCAAAGATGCTCAAGAGAGACAAAAGACTGCTCATGGAGGGAAAGGGAATAAACATGAGGGTAGCACCGCCAACAGGGCACGGCAACACCCAGGTACAACAACAAGAACAATGTGAGGGTTTCCCTCGATGCAATGTGCAGTGTTTTCGAGAATTCCTCCGACAACTTTTCTTTGTCCCTAGGTTCCGAGGACATTCTGCCCTATAGCCGACCCCAGTTCCCCACAGTCAACAGCCCCCGGGACCCAAGCTCTTCCAGCTCCATGTCCTCGAGGGGCTCAGGGGGTCGGCGAAGAGGAGAAGGAGGCCGCAGGAACCCTGCAGACATGGGCCTTAACACCGCGGGGGCCTTCCAACCAGGAGATGAAGAGCTTGAGGTAAACATTACAAAGTAGTGTAGGTGATGAAAATGTAATGTCGTAAAAATGTCATAAAAAGTTAGGGTATAGGTCGTCATAAATCCATAGTATAGAATCTCATACTATAGTAGGTCATGTCAAAAAAAAAAAATCACAGAATAGTATGTCGTAAAAATGTCAACGTAAAGTATGTCATAAAAAATAGTGGTATTGTAAGTTGCCAGGATATCACGAAATAAGTTATAATATATTTTTTTTTTTTCATGAAAATGTAAAAAAAAGTCTGAGTATTGGTTTTCATCAAAAAGTCATATTATAGCATGTCATAAAGATGTATTAAACAAAGTTGCAGTATAATATGTTGTTAAAATGTAATAAAGTCACATTATAGAATGTCATCGAAAATTTGTTTTCGATGACATTGTTGTCAAATGTTGTCAAATGTCAGAATAGTATATCATAAACACCGTTTAAGTACACAGGCTATCACTCAACAGATCACACCAATACCGATATTTCAGAGTTTAAAAAATACCATAATAAAAATTACACATTAATAATCTCGATACAGATCACTTAGATTTCATTTTTAAAGATTATGACCAAGATACAGACGGTACAAACGTATTTTACATTGTAAAACAAGTATTACATTGTTTTCTGTTGTCCAACTATGTAATCTAATACGTGATGTTTCTAAATGACCTCAAACCCAGTTACACATTCTATACTGCAATGTCTTGTTACTTACTGGCTTATATGTACAGAGATATATTTGCAGTACGCCGACATCAATATATCGCTCTAGCTATGAAAGATGGATGTCAACAAAAATGTTTTTTTTTTTCACCTAGATGGCAGAAAGCTGAAGAACAGACGAGGAACTGTCCTGACTTTTCCAAGAGTGGATTACCATTGTTTCTCTTACAATTTTAAATATCTCAGTAATTCACCATCATGTTGGCTGCCATTATGCTGTACATCAGTAGTGTTTCTTTACATCTGGAAAACAGACCAATGGTTTTTTTTCTACCTTATCATTTTCTATGTCCATTCAAAAAAAAAAAAAGGAAAGCGTGTCTGAAGATAAGAGTGCATTCAAAACAAAATACGCAGTAGTATATTTACGTTTAATTCCAATGCAATATGGAGTGAAATCTTACTCCAGACATTGACATGACTCTGTTTGCCTCGACAAGAGCTTTGGAGAGCCCATACAGTCAGTTGTTACTGTAATACAACAGCTGCAAGCAGAGAGGGGTGGACTGTGTGTAAATATACGTGTATACATGTCTTCTTGTTTTACCCTCTGTGGTACCTCAAATTTGTCTTCCTTTTTTATTTTGTGAATTCTAATTTTATTATGCCAGTAAATATAATTATTATTTTATCATTTCCATCCATGTTGTAAATTGCTATATTATTTAGCTGCCCCAAGAAAGTGCCACTTTGGGATTTTTCTTTTCTTTTCTTTTGTATTTTGTAATGCACTGTTATGTTTCGTGTTGATGTCAATGTTTGTTATTTGTTTTACTTTGGTTTTAAAAGCACAATCACTAAACTTTATTTTAAACCATTCTATCTATTAACCTTTTTGTCTTACTGGAGGAAAACAGGTGTGACAAAAAAGTCTAGTTAATCCTGATGATGATGATGTAGGTTAAGGTTGCTGTTTACGAAGGCTGGGCTTGAAAGGAGACTCCTTGCGTCGTGATTGACTCCCTCTCCAGTTCTGATGCTAGCTCAAGTGTTGAAAGACAGTTAATGTGAGTCATAGCTGCAATGTATATATCTTTTCGCATTGACCATAAACTCAGCTATTGCACATTAATCGAAATGGTTATGTTGTCTACTAATGCACTTAAACACATGTCAAATACAGGAAATAAGAGTCACTTTGGGAATCTGGAGAGGTTGTAATTGGACAAGAAGAGTCTCTTTTCTTGATAAGGCAGTGGTAATGGACCCTTGTTTTTAAGGAGGAAGGGTGCTATTGTTTATTCATAGGACATCTGCAAGCATTTGTTTCGTAAAGCAAAAAAGAAGTAATAAAAAAAGATGAATAAAAAATTCAAACTATACATGTTCCTGTGGTATTGTGTCAACCTGAGAGGATAAGGACTGTCTCTTTTTCTTAATGTTAATTAACCTGTCAACAAAAAAAAAAAAGTTATAAAAACGCATAGGTTGTCGTGCATTGGCGAGGCTCTACAGCAACTGTTATGTTCAACAATTACAGATGTGTTTATCATTAATTCATCACATGCACCTGACCACAACAGGGATATCACCCCCGATGCTTGTTCTTAACCCAAAAAAGTCATGACTAGTATTTTTATATGGAAAAATCCATATTATTGTATGTTGAAAAAGTAATATATGTCATAGTATTGTATGTCGAAAAAAAGTCGGTGTGAAAGGTCGAAAAAAATCAAAAAGACATACTGTAGTATGACAAAAAAGTCACATGTCCAGAAATGTCATAAAATATGTATAGTATGTCAAAAATGTCAGTAGCCTACAGTATGTTGAAACAATTTCATAGTATAGTATTTTGAAAAAAGTCCTAAAAACAGTGATAGTATAATATGTCTAAAAAAGTGAGAAAAGTCAGTATTTTAAAAAAGTCTTAGTACGCAATGTCGAAAAACGTCATAGTACAGTATGCTGAAAAAAGTCATAATGTATTGTTAGTACCATTAGCTGAAAGCTAAGGTTGACTAAAATGATTCATCAAATGCATACACTTTTTCTAAACCATGCCATGAATGCACTGGGAAACCCAGTACATAAATACATTCGTAGATACATCCTCAATCACCTGTTTGCATAGCAATACTTGCGTCTGCTCTGCCAGGCATTAGAGCTGTCAACAAAAAGGACAAATAAGTAGTCATTTTACAAGTTGTGTTGGATCAGCGAGGCACAACAACAATGCTAGAGCAGCTGTTATGTGCAACCATTACAGGGAGATATAGCTATTCATAGGGCCTGTATCACTAAATCATGCCATGTATCTGTACCTGTGGTATCCAATCCTATTTCACCTTTCAAACAATCAATGATCTTTATGTCACTAATATCAAAATAGACTTACAATTAATGCATGGGAAAAAGTATTTATACATGCACATATGGCCCTGTGACATTAAACATGGGGTTGACTATGTTCATGGTAATGAAAGAACACATTGCCAAGAGCAACCATGTGGCAAATCTGTATAGGCTTTGGCTACACATACAATGAAAAGGATATTTTCATTGTATTGTTGTGATTGGTTTACAATATACAAATATAGCAGGATAGTCATTTTTAACCATTCGAAAAAAACTTAACTACTTAAAAAAAATGTAATCTCAAACAATTAATTTTATGGTTATGGTACACAACACCAACATTTGTGGAGCTATGAAAAACGATTCATACAAGTTTACAAATACATTTGTTATAGCTTTAACTGAAAAGCATCACAATAAAGCTCAATGTCATTGCATCTATTGCATTCTAATTTGAAATCATCCTAGCTGGCCTCACCCGAGAGGACACGATGTACTTCAACAACCACAGTCAAGGAGAGAACTATCAATATCCTTGGCTCAGAGGCTAAACAGCCATTTCTGTTCTGTACAGTAGCTATTCAAATACATTACCCAATGCCAATTCCATCAGTGTTTGCCATTACTCACAATATCAGTATCCCATGTCATTCAGTAAAGGCATTTGGAGCCATCGAGGGACGCTAAACCCAACGGTGAAGGAATTATATTGAATTTGACAGACGTAGATTGCTGCCAATTAGGCGTAAGGAGGCTTCAATGAGGTTACATAAGAGAGCAAACACAGTACTCCTTATTTCCCATCACTCACACCGGTGGGCTGACTGCTGACGCGGCAAAACAAAATATCCATAAAATCAGAGGATGACACACAGAGTTCTAGACAGAAACTCATCCTAATTAGAGACCAGAATAAATGTGTTCCAGTTTATTACATCTAACCTGCCTACTGCTTGTTCTCACAGAAGCAATAACCTGGCCTATGGGAGTCTTTAATGTCAACCGCTGTCTGTCTGGCTTATTGGAACACCAGTGATGAAGAAAGAGAGATGCTTCCTCCCCTTTATACTTCCTCCTCCTGAGCCTCAAAGAACTGGAATGGAAGTTATGTTTTTACAAGCCAATGACTGGCTGCACAACTTAACATCCTGGAGCCTCGGGAGACCGACGGCTCCGAGTCCTCTGCTCAAAGCCACCAGAGCGATGACAGATTATATTTCCACTGAACTCATTTACTGCAACAATTGGTGGATATTCTTGTCCATTTAATTTGTGTTTTGACGTCAATTTTTAAATGTAAAAAAAATACAGGAATGTACAGATGTAATATCATCAGAAGCGTAAAATATTCTACAGCATTTCTACATCCGATATGCATCGTTATCTTTGGAAATGAAATGATGTAATTAGTGCCGACATTGGATGTTTACAGAGAAAATGTTTAAATAACAACATCAGTATAGTTCAGTATGTTTATTATGGTTTAGCGATGACACTGTGGTCTTAGAATTCTCACCCCCTCCTCCTCTGCTCTCTCTCAGCTTTTGGAGCTCCCTTCCCCCCTTCATTCCCCCAGGTGTTCGCTAATAAGCCCCTTTCTAAACAAGAACAAATTTGGAACAGAGGAGAGCATCCCCTTATGCCTCCATCCATCATTTTAATGAGTGGAGGTGTGTCGAGGCCCCACAATGAGATGCAGGTGATTAAGGACATTAAGCGGATACACTGGCTGCCAGGGTTATTCACCCCATAATGGCATGAATATGCACAATGAGGTTGGATGGTCTTTGGTCCGGTCCTTACAGTTACTCTACCTGTGTGCTCTAGGGAAGGCTCAGAAGTGTAGTGGCATGTCGACAGCATTAGAGCTGGGGGAAGGGGAATTGCAAATGGGGTTGTGTGTTGCATTTAGTACAATGATATTTTTTTCCTCCCTCACTTTGAAGGTTCTCGCATATAATGTGTGAAAAATACCTAGATTACTGTGCCGACAGGATATCAACACTTATAGTATACACCAACTGTAATGTTCAACAAGTGATTGGTAATAGAACTAAAACTATGAGTTGATTAATTAATTCACTGAAACCAATGATTACCCATCTATCTTAATAACTAATTACTTGTTTGAGTTGTTTCACAGTTGCCAGCCCTATAACTGAAGATTCAATGTTGTCCTCTGAAGATGGTAAAGTGAATATCTTTGGGTTTTGGACTATTGGTTGGACAAAAGAAGACATCACCTTGGGCTCTGGGAAATAGTGAGGGACATATTTAACAACTGTGACATTTAATAAACCAAACGATTAGATGATTAATTAGGAAGATAATTTGCAGATTAGTCGATCATGAAAATAAATGACTACAGCACTAACTGGTTGCAAAAATGTCTTTATGGACTGTTTGTAAAGTTGCATTTTTAGCACAAGTTATGACGATGTATACATATTGCTCTACTAAATTATAATAATACATGTACAATTGAATTAAGAAAAATGCCTTGCCAATAACTAATCCTTTGTTTCGCCGCAGTAAGCAATGTCTGTCAAACTGTAGATTAAGCCACAAAACTACACAAGCAGAAAGAGGTCTGGGTTAAAACTCGTATAATAATCTTAAACTTCAAAAGAACTAAGTGGACCACTGAATGCACTAAGAAGTCTTAAAAAGTAACACGTCTTTTTCTTAAGTACATTGTACAGGTTCTGAGCACTTAAAACAGCACCTGCACACAATCAGCTTCACCAACTTCCCATGAATGAATGAGTCTGATTTCTCAGAAAGAAGAACATTTGAAGACAACAGATTCACTCAGGATTTAATATACCAATGCAAGTATGCCTAATTACTCTGTATAGAAATAAACATGTACACATCTGTAATCCACAGTAACCCCAACTCCTCTTCAAGCATCCTTTTTCTTTATCCCTTCAAATGTTTCGGTTTATCCAATCGATAATTTGAACTGCTGTTGCTTCCCGCTCTGTTCCAGCAGCCAGAAACTAATTTCTTTTGTGCACATTCAGGCTGTCTCTCATTTCTGAACGCCAAACTGCTTCATTAACCTCCTTCCCAAACTAGGAGGTAATTAAGTGTACAGCTGTGCACTGTCTGACAACTCATCTTACTGTCGCCATCCTCCGCGGGAGCATCGGCAAGGAAGCCGCCATCACAGGTGCACAGTGTGTAGACGGCTTACCAGCACCTCTCCACAGCCATTTACACTGCAGCTGCAGGTCAAACGTCACCTCTTCAGACAATCAATCAAAACTCATTTACGTTTAATGATCTCACCAACCGACTCATCATAATTTCACATCATTACAAAAAGTTGCTTTTAATCAATGTTAAACACTTTGGCTTGTTTCAACATGTGAAAATTGAGCGGAGAGGAGTTATTGTAAAAGATAGCCGTCACAGTGGGGATACTGCCAGATGTAATGAGAGAGGGAGTGTGAAAGCCAGCCAAAACCAAGAGTTTTTTTAATAACTGGGAAGTAATCTGGGTGATTTGTACATCCATTTGTCACTTAGCCAGTCATTCTAACCATCCTTATTTAGTGCCGATGGGGTCCACACAATTAACCCAGAGGAATACAGCCTCCTCCTCGTTGCGGTCGCCTGGAATCTTCCCTCCCTCAGCTTTTCCTCTGCCGTCCTCTTTGCATCTGTAAGCTGATCTCACCATCTAACATTTAATATCACCAATGAGTTATTGTGTTATCAAAGTGCTTATGATGATTATTAACACCATTATAAGCCCTTTGATTAGCGGGATACATTCACCAGATTCACTGCAGTAGTTCTTATAGTCGGCACTCTATGTGAAAGAAGCAATATCAGACACCAAGCAGAATCCAAAGAGGCCAACCAGCTGTGGCTAAATTGCAGGTGCAGTCAGAGAAGAATGAAACAGTTTCATTTATCAACAAGTGCAAAATATAATCCAAACCGCCACAGTTTATCAACAAGGTGCTCAAAAACTGAAGTTAATAAGCATATGATGAACATTTACTGTGTAG